CTGGAAATTTGAATACGGGTACCCCTGTCCTTCCCCCGTCATGGGACAGCTCTACTGCGAGCACTTATGAGACGAGAAGGAGAAGCAGACACTTTCTTCGGAAGAAACCCCGGATGGGTCCTCCCTGCTACTACTGCTGCCAGCCCGAACAGCTCTACTAGTTACTAGTTCGACTCCTACCATTCCTACTACGACTAGTATATACACCCTTAACCCTAAACATCCCTAAACCCTAAAAACTACAGACTTCAACTACTAGGTGCTTCTTGGGCGCGGTGGTCGTCGTTGGTGCCTCCGTGGCTGTAGCCATCAAGGCCAAAGGCCTCAAATGTACGGTGAAGTGTCGAGAGTATACACTTGCCGAATGATCTGATTTCTCTTCCAAGACCTTTGAACGGCTTGTTTGCGCAAAATGGGATCCCAGTCAGTATCTCGGCATTTTCGTTCCGACTGCCTTGTCTTGATACAGCTTGCGCAAGCCGAGGAATCTCGCAAAAGCATGCCCACCAACTCCGTACAAAGGAGCCTATGGGGCACCCCCGCTAGATTCAAAGGTCCACACAAAGTTCCCCCGATTGTTTTGCGAAACATGGTTTTTAGCCAACCTGCGCAGAATCCCTGTAGAAAAGTCCTGGGTTCTTGTTTGGGAGACACACGGGTAGATACATTTCATTTAAAGGTTTTTCTCGACCATCTGGCATGGGGTAGAAACAGTCTGGTACAGTATGTTATGCCCGACTCGAGAACCAAAAGATACTACCGATGCCCACCCCCACCGTGCGAGACTGATAGGACTGTCCAGCACCCTAAACCCTAAACCGGCTGCGGTTGGGGTGTTTCTTGTTTGCTGGAACACACACTGCTGAGTAGGAATCTAGAAGGGGGGCAAGCTTAGGCGTAGTCACTGTTTGCAAAGCAAGCTGTCCTGTTGGATGCTGCTTGTTTATCTCTTTTTCTGTTGGTGACAGGGCATGTAAGTGTGCTGGCGACTTGAAAACTCGCCCCGAACATAGTCTCTTCGACCGCCGTCATCATACCAGAATCCCTGCGGTGCGCCAGCCATGCGGGGGACAAAACAACCCTACACCCCCAAACCCTGAACCCTTAAACCCCTACGATCCTGCGTTTAAGGTCACAGGCTGCCAAGATCCAGTTCAGCCCGAAAGTTGATAGTAGTGGCCTAAAAATGTACCACAGCTTAATCCTGCCAAGATGTGGCGATTCTTCGTGAAGCACACATTAGATTCCGCGACAAGTGTGCAGGAATCACAACAAGAACTATAACGAGCATCGAATGGGTGTGAATCTATTTCAAAACGGCATCACGAATCATGAAGGATTGATCACCTTGCCTAGAGCCCAAACCCATCAGAAACACGCTGCGGTAGTGGCTAATGCTTCAAGGTTGCGCATCTGATGGCTTGTACCTTAGTGTTTTTTGCGGAAGAGGCGTTGTACCAGAATGGGGAATTAAGGGGTAGCAGGAGTACCTAAGTAGCCCTTAAATAACACCTACTTAAGGTCCCTGATAAGGGTCCCTCCTTTCGTCCCTTGAGGGAATTAATGAAGGACATAGCAGGGCCGACTTCCCAATTCTGACACTTCTCTGGAGGTTTCCGAAAATGGGGGTACCTTCTTGGGTCCTTATGATAAGGGAATCCTGCTTTTTGGGGTCTATTTTCTGGGGTCCCTTACTTTCGTAAACTCCCATCTGGAAACAACTGGAAACCAAGCATTTAACATCAGCAAACAACCATTCCTCCCTCAGGTTGGGGCATCGACTGCTGCAGCATCGAGATGTCATCGCAAACTTCACGCCTGGTGAGTGCGCGTCTTCAGCTGGAGTGCTGTACAGCCGTGATACTCAGTCTTTGCGCTTGGCCGCAGACGCTTGTTTACACACGAGCTGTGCAATGCGGCAAGGGCTTGAGCATGTACACGAACATACTAAAAACACTACAGATGAAATACAGTTGATATACCACGCGCAGGGTGTACCAAAGGCACCGTCTAGCATACGAGGCGCTATGGGGATGTCACCCTACCCATTCAAAGTTCTACATTGCAGTGCAGGGATGCAGCCATGACTTGGAGATGCCATGCGTGAAACATGAGAAAGTATGGCACTTGGGATGTGCCCTCTTGTACTAACAGTCCTTTCTAGGGATTATACTCCCCCCCCCCCCAACAAAAAATCCTATGAAAAATGTGAGTAGAAAGGGGAAAATCTTAATATGTTGCACCGCAGAGATGTCGAGGATGCTGGAGAAGTATATTGGGAGTGCACACCATTAGTAAACCCAACGCGGATTACACCCATCGGGACTCGCACCACGCATGTCCATTTTGGTTCAGAGAGATCTGCCTAAGATGAACAGACCCCTACAGTCCCTGCAGGAAGGACCCTAAACCCCAAACCCCAAACCCCAAACCCCAAAACCCCAACCCCCCCCCCCCCCCCAAAAAAAAAAAAAAAAAAAAAAAAAAAAAGTACCCCCGACTTCGGAGAAAATCCCCAATTTTCTATGATAGCTTGAGCCCAGCACGCTATGGCATGGGAGACAGCCAGGCTGAGCAGCAATCGCACGAAGACCTGAAGGTTTAGGGTTTAGGGTTCAGGGTTCAGGGTTTAGGGTTTAGGGTTTAGGGTTTAGGGTTTAGGGTGTATTGTAGGGTTTATGAGGTTTAGGGTTTAGGGTTCTTCGGGCTTGGGCTTTAGGATGTTTGTGCCAGGTGGCTTGACTAGCCATGTCCGAGAACAAACACGTGTTTTCTATGGCTTGGACCAAGCAGATTCAAGATCCCAAAGCAGGAAACAGAAGAAATTTGCGAAGAAGATGCTTGTCTAAACAATCAGTCAACTCCGGCAAGTGTGAAGATTCGGCATCTACTGTACGCTGCACATAGCAGAACTTCGCGTCCTAGACATACTCCGTATAGGGGTTGACATCACAGCCTTCCCTGAGACCAACAATAGTGCCATTTGCACACCTTGAACCTGGGCAAGCTCCAAACTGACATGCTGGGCATAATGAAACAAACAAAAACACTCCTAAACCCTAAGCCCTAAAACCCTAAACCCTAAACCCCAAACCCTAAACCCTAAACTTACCCTTTAAAAAAATCGTGTGCGGGCCTGCGTCGAGTGGACCAGGCCATGCTTCCATGGCCTCAAGGCAGGTTGACATAGACATGGAGATTCCTTCTCAAGGTGGACACCCGCAAGACCTTCCCCGGGTTCTTAGTAGGGAATGAGGCAATGAGGGCCCTATATATACCCCGTAAGGGATTGAACAGGGCCCTAATTCCCTCATCTGCTGGAAGCTGGGAACTCCCGATCTTCGGACAACTTCCGCCAAAGGCAGAAAGTCAGACCCAAAGTGCACTCCCAAAAGGCGGCAGATGGACAATACCCAGCACAGCACTCCACTGACTGTGCCCAGCAGCAAAGCCATGGAGGCTTCGAAGACCGGGGCCGAAGGTTTTCGCTACGATCTTAAAACGCTGCAGCAAAGTCGGGAGGCTGTCGTTGCAATGGGTATGTCTTTCGATTCTCACCCTTTTTCTGAGAGTCCTGAAGAGGGATTCTACCTGGGGGGGGACTATTATTCCTTTTTAAGGACTCTTAGTATAAGGGTGAACATCCCAAGGTATGTCGGGTAAGTGCCAAGGACCGACCCGAACATGTTCTGGTAGTGTGTTCTTCTGTTGTTGAGGTAGCAAAAAGCAAACAAGCCCAATCATCTGCTCCGCCGCGGTCCAGCAGTTCAAAAACAGATTTACTGAAGTATTCTTCGAATAGATAGTTAAGAATTGAAGAATTCTCCGAATAGATAATGGTTAAGAGTTGAAGCAGCAACTCGTTCAAGACAGCATAGTCGTAGCCCCGCATTCGAGCTAGAGCCTCGCCAGAAAACGGAGCACAGGAAGGGACCGGTGCTGGGGGGACCTACGCACATGTACCGCTCCAGATTCACCTGCGAACGAGGAACCTGCGAGGGGCTGGAGTGAAAAAACAAAGGCGACCTTGCCAGCCTCCCTCGAGTTGTGCAGGGCAAGAGGGTCACCTTGTCAAAGCACCTGTTTTCGCGGGACCTGTGCAAATGAACCGCTCCACAGGCACGTGCGCATGGCGACCTTGCCAGGGCCCTGTCTCCCACCAGAGGACTGGCGCAAAACGGATCTATCTATCCTCACCCATTCAGGGGGCCTATGCGGGACCTGCAGTACTCAATGATCTTTTCAGGGACCTGTGTAAGGGGGACCTCTGCAAAGATGTGTCTCAAATGGGAAAACTAACATGTCCAACAGAGATACAGTTTTCTGGACATTTGTAGGGGATGCAGTCCATTAGCACCTTGCAACTGTTTTCACTGCGCGCTCGATCAAAGCAGTGAAGCTGCGCTCGAGCGTGCTGCTGCTCTGCAGTCCCACGGCTGCGTCAGGCCTCTGAGAGTTCCCGGAGTGTCAATATATCTCCCATTCGGCGCACCGCGCGTCTTGCGCACATGCGATGTAAGCAAAAGAATGTCGAGCAGGTGCACGTGTTTGACGCGTCCCTGCCAAAGTCTGCCAGATAATACTTTTCCAAGGTTAATTGTGCCTGTTTCGGTCTGCCACGATTCTGTGCGTCTTTGGCAATGCAGGTGGTAGACCAGCCCTTTCGCTTGGCGAAAGCTACAACAGACTGGGTTGCCGCTAAAGTTCGGATGCGTGTCTTTAGAGGCGTCCTTGTCTTTCTGCAGGCCCTCCGGCTTCATATCCTATAAGAAGTACATCTCTAGCTGGACGTCGCTCGCCCCAAATTTCCTGCGTCGCTGCTGGGACCCACCTACAGTCATCGCCTACGGATGAAAGGCCTCAATAAACGAAGGCTACAGCATACTATCACATTTCTACGGTATACAAACAGCTTCTGTATCGTGGACCGGAGTAAGCTGCAGCAAAACACTGTGATGGGTTCCAAGCTCCTCTGGGGCGCGGTCAAGGGCTTGACAGCTTCACCTGCGCACGTCAGCTCCAAGTGCACCGAAGTCTGCATGACGTGGTCATTGGCGACAGATGTGCACAGTCTCGATGCAACATGCCGCAACACACACCACCGACTTTCCGAGTGCACTCCGAGTGGCCCGGCATCGCACATGCACTCTTCAGTGCCGAAGACCTCGCAGTCGGCAGTCAGGCCCAAAAGGCCACAAGAAGTTTGCCCCCCAAAAAAAGGCTTCTAGTCGCAGTTGGGGCGCCGGGGCTGCATCATCTACGTCTCCCGCCATCTCCCGTAGCGCCATCAAGCGCATCCAGCCGCCGAGGGCCACGTTGCCAGTGCTTGCCTGGAGCATGCGGACGAGGGAGTAGCGGAGCCGCACACGTCCCAACAAAAAAATTGAAGAAAACATCTCAGCATGACCATCAGCCAGAGGCAGCTCTGGATTCTGGCCTTGCTACCCGTTGCTACCCTACCAGTCCGCGAGGCCTCGCAAAGTGGGCGAGACGAGAGTTTTCACGAGATTCTCGCTCTGCCGACGAACTACACAAGCTAATTGGAGAACGGGTTCACTGTGCAGTTGTACACATGTCAGACAACCTTAGGTCCTCGGAGTTGGCTGCAAAGTCCTTTTCCCCACAAAGCACAGCGCAGAAGAGCCTTCTGACCGGTCTGCACGTTGTTCTCTTCGGATCTGGCCTCCTTCAGTGTACTTTGAGCCTCCAAACATCCCGCATGGACAGGATTCACCTTCACCAAGCCGTAAGCCATGCAACATGCAGGTAGTCTCCGATGCCATGCACTTCCTTGCAGTCTGCCATAACCTAAACCCCTTAATTTAATTCGTTTGCGAACCCTTCATAAATCATGGCCCCTTGAAATACTGCACCCTATCATCCCTGGCAACATGTAGAAGCCCTGCAAAGTTGCTATACACGCACATGCAAATTCCTGCATCTCCAATCACCTCCATGGAGGCACTACAAGCCAAAGGACAGGACCCATGGCCTCCGAGCACTCCGCCTTCGGCTTCGCCTCTGTGGCCTGGCAGGTGCTGCTCCCCTGTATCCTCCATATAAGCGGGCGTCGGAAAGTTTTCCGCGGCAAGCGCGCACCGCGTGCCTTGCGCAGGGCGCTGCCCACAGGCCCGGCCAAGGTGCCAGGGCCCTCCAGAGCCGAAAGTTTCAGCGCCGCCTCCGAAAAAAGATAACAAGAAGGGGCAAAGGAAGCTTTAGGGAGACTGATGCCCATGGCTCCGAGCACAGACACCTCGGCGCGGAGCTCCGCCGCCTTCCGGATTATGGCCTCTTCGTCGAGCTCAAGGGACCTCCGCAGAGCTCCAGGGAAATGCCCACTCAGAGAAAATATGCGCTTCGATGCGCCTCGTGACTGTGGGCAGCAACAGTGGTTCGTTCGCGCCCTTCCCTTTTGCATGCAAACTTTTCACATGGACATCGACATTCAGCTGAAGAAGTGCGTGCGCAAGCAACGCAAATCCTGCGTCGTGTTCTCAACTTTGAAGCAACTCGGAAAATTGAGTGGGCGTGAGAGAAGGGGGGACACCATCTTCAAACGAGACTTCCTCTACTTGCCCCCTGGCCTGGACTCCAGCAGCCGCACGGCTTCTTCGAAGCCGGGGAAGGGAACCGCCCAAGCCTTTCTGGTTGAAGCAAGCGCTCGCGCACCAGATGCTTTGAGACAATGGGTGCATCTGCCCTCCAGGATGGGCTATTCGACTCTATAACCTCTTTAAAACGGCCCTTTATGGGGTTGATTAGATGGGGATTATGAGGCCTGATATCCCATCCAGGTCGGGCATCACAAGCACGACTTCGCACAGCATGGAGCCTCCAGAAACTCCTCCGACTCTTCTGCGGAGCAGAGCTGGACCTCACACATCTCCGACGAAGAGTGCGGGCAGGAACCAGCAGCACTAGAGGAGCTATAACTGATGACCCTCCAAGTCTTTCCCAACCGACCAGGCTTTTCAGGACCTGTAAACCTTCAAGCCGGGCTATACAGCACTGGGAGCAAAAATATACCAAGGAGGCTCAGTCGCCCAGCCTCATCGACCTCGCCTTTCCAGCCCCATCGCGCCGGAAAGTTGATCCACACGTTGAACCCTTTCACTTCCTTACACAGGCTGGGGCGGCTTGGGGTTGCGGAGTGATGCGCCTCCCCGACTCGCCAAAGCAGCGGAGGCAATCGTGACAGGAGTCTTGTTCACGCAAAAAAAATAAAGGATACTGGAGAGATAATCATGAAATATGTGAAATCTGCGGTCTCACTCGGATGAAGCTTTGCTTCAAGGATTCGAACCATTCTGCCGTGTCCCACGCAGACTTCCCAGCTGAACAGCAAGCAGCAGGAAGCGCTGTGTGCTTTGCTGCACCACATTGAAATCCCACTGCTTTCTATAGATTCTAAAAGTCAACCAATGTCTGAAGCTCACCGAGACATGCCCAGCAAGCGTGCGCATCACATTGCGAGAGGCAACCCTTCTGATAACTGAAGACTCAATTATAACGTCAAGTCAGCAAAGATTCGCCTAAAGTCCATTGCAAGCAGCCCTGGCAGGCATTCTGGGAGTGCAACGGGACACACACAAATGCGCAAGCTGGAGCACAACGCATAACCCTCGGCACGGAATCTCGAAGCCAGGGATCCGTCACGCGCCCCAAATCTCCCTCGGAGACGTTCTGCCAGTGCCTCGTCTCGTCGACGTTGCCCCGGACCTTTGCAGGTTTGCAGCTTGGCTTTGTTTCTTGCGGCGAGCCGACAGACTTGTGGGGTTGCTGCAATCTCTTGGGGTTTTTCACCTTTCTGAACTCATTGCAGCATGAAGACATGCATTACGAGCGCAAGTACGTTCCGTCCAGACTCCTGGCCACAGTAGTCTGCCGGTCGCATCCCGAAACACAGTTGCCGCAGGTGCAAATAAGCGGCTCGCACCAGGGCTCCCACGAAGAGCTTGGGGATGGACTGCAGCGTAAAGCGATGGATGGTTTCATTGGTGCTTGGAGCTGTCTGAACATGACAGAGCTTTGCGGAACACTGTGGGCACCTGCAAAAATTCCTCCGACTCCTCCTCTGTAGAACAAGGCTCCACCTCCAGGGTGCAGTGATGTATGAACGCCGCACGGCAACCTCTTGCACCAAAGTGCCAGAAAGAGCGACTACACAACCCCAAGCTCTACCCCAGCCGACCACTGCCAAAGCTCGTAGAACTCTGCAAGTCTATAAGGTCGAGAGAGCCCTGTGACAGCTTGTACCTCCCAGCTTTTCCAACAACACTGGCTTCCTCCCGCACTGGAAGCCCTTTTCAAGAACATTGTTCTACATGTTCTGCAAGCCTCGGTGGAAGGTGCGGGTGCACGGGGCTGCTCAAGAGGAGACACCGGCCACCGCAAACCCGGAAGACCCATCCAGCATAAATGGACAACATCGAACCAAAAGCGAAGCGACACCCGGCCCATCCAACATGACGGGAGACAAATTGCAACAAGTGAAGACTGGCCAACGCGAACCCATCAAACCCCCAACCGACCACCCCCCAAGACTCATAGAACCTTGCAAGGAGGCGAGTCTGTAGGGTCTGAGGATCAAAAAAGGCCCATGGAGCTCGCAGGGACTTCTAGCCTTGGGATCCGGGATGATCCGGGTGTGACAGCTTGTGGCTCCCACCTCTTCTCCAGCAACGCTTTCAAATTCCAACAACACTGGATTCCTCCCGCACTGGAATCGGGAAACCCATCAAAAAACTTTCTCCAAACAAAGAACTTTCTTCTGGTGCTCACAAGCAGGTAACACTCCCCGCAAAACTGCTTCTCCAATCAAAAAACTGTATTCATTAAAGAACACTTCTTGATATGGATGCATTCCTCAAGCACGGGATCGCGAAATGCGTAGCTGTCATCGGTTTTGGGAGTCCTTCCTTACGAAGTGCGTGACTGTCGTCGCTTGTGGATGTCTTGCTTCGCGAAATGCGCAACTGTCATCGCTCTTGAACGCTCCTCAAGCACGGGATCAGCTGCTGGGCTTCAACACGATTCATCTGGCCCAATTTCAGGTTTTTCGGCTCGACACAGGGCATCTGACCCAACCCCCGGGCTTCGGCTCGACAAAGAGGGTTCGTGCCAGAAGAGGTAGAAGCTTTCATTCACCTGGCCCAAACCCAGGGTTTCGGCTCCACAAAGGGGCTGCCAGAAGAAGTAGAATTTTGCTGACAAGGCTCGACAACGGGGGCTTGGACAAGAAAAGGTTGAGTTTAGCATCCTCTGGCCGAAACCCAGGTTTTCGGCTCGAAAAAGGGGGCTTGGACCAGAAGAGGTTGAATTTAGCGATATTTAGCGTCATCTGGCCCAAACCCAGGTTTTCAGCTCGACAGGCTTGGACCAGAAGAGGTTGAATTTAGCGTTGCGTCATCTGGCCCAAACCCAAGTTTTCGGCTCGACAAAGGGGGCTTGGACCAGAAGAGGTTGAATTTAGCGATATTTAGCGTCATCTGGCCCAAACCTAGGTTTTCGGCTCGACAAAGGGGGCTTGGACCTGAAGAGGTTGAATTTAGCGATATTTAGCGTCATCTGGCCCAAACCCAGGTTTTCAGCTCGACAGGCTTGGACCAGAAGAGGTTGAATTTAGCGATATTTAGCGTCATCTGGCCCAAACCCAAGTTTTCGGCTCGACAAAGGGGGCTTGGACCAGCAGAGGTTGAATTTAGCGATATTTCGCGTTACCTGGCCCAAACCCAGTTGGCGTCATCTGGCCCAAACCCAAGCTTTCGGCTCGACAAAGGGGGCTTGGACCAGAAGAGGTTGAATTTAGCGTCCTCTGGCCCAAACCCAGGTTTACGGGGGGCTTGGACCAGAAGAGGTTGAATTTAGCGATATTTAGCGTCATCTGGCCCAAACCCAGGTTTTCGGCTCGACAAAGGGGGCTTGGACCAGAAGAGGTTGAATTTAGCGATATTTAGCGTCATCTGGCCCAAACCCACGTTTTCGGCTCGACAAGGGGCTTGGACCAGAAGAGGTTGAATTTAGCGATATTTAGCGTCATCTGGCCCAAACCCAGGTTTTCGGCTCGACAAAGGGGGCTTGGACCAGAAGAGATTGAATTGAGCGATATTTAGCGTCATCTGGCCCAACCCAGGTTTTCGGCTCGACAAAGGGGGCTGCGGACCAGAAGAAGTTGAATCTCGCGTCATCTGGCCCAGGTTTTCGGCTCGTCCAAGAAGAGGTCGAATTTAGCGTCCTCTGGCCCAAACCCAGGTTTTCGGCTCGATAAAGGGGGCTTGGACCAGAAGAGGTTGAATTTAGCGTCCTCTGCCCCAAACCCAGGTTTTCGGCTCGACAAAGGGGGCTTGGACCAGAAGAGGTTGAATTTAGCGATATTTAGCGTCATCTGGCCCAAACCCAGGTTTTCGGCTCGACAAAGGGGGCTTGGACCAGAAGAGGTTGAATTTAGCGATATTTAGCGTCATCTGGCCCAAACCCACGTTTTCGGCTCGACAAGGGGCTTGGACCAGAAGAGGCTGAATTTAGCGATATTTAGCGTCATCTGGCCCAAACCCAGGTTTTCGGCTCGACAAAGGGGGCTTGGACCAGAAGAAGTTGAATTTAGCGATATTTAGCGTCATCTGGCCCAAACCCAGGCTTTCGGCTCGACAAAGGGGGCTTGGACCAGAAGAGGTTGAATTTAGCGATATGTAGCGTCATCTGGCCCAAACCCAGGCTTTCGGCTCGACAAAGGGGGCTTGGACCAGAAGAGGTTGAATTTAGCGATATTTAGCGTCAAACCCAGGTTTTCGGCTCGACAAAGGGGGCTTGGACCAGAAGAGGTTGAATTTAGCGATATTTAGCGTCATCTGGCCCAAACCCAGGTTTTCGGCTCGACAAAGGGGGCTTGGCCCAGAAGAGGTTGAATTTAGCGATATTTAGCGTCATCTGGCCCAAACCCACGCTTTCGGCGCGACAAAGGGGGCTTGGACCAGAAGAGGTTGAATTTAGCGTGATGTAGCGTCGTCTGGCCCAAACCCAGGTTTTCGGCTGCATTGCCAAGACGATGTAAAGTTCAATCCTTGATGAAGCACGGCTTCTCGAAAAAGTCATCAAGCAAGTATCTCAGGGAAACTTGTTTCTAGAGCTCAGGTTTGAGCTTGGGATGTCAGAGGAGCTTGCAGGCAACATGTAGGCCACGGGTAGCTCACGTGTGGAGCCCCAGCCTCCACGACGCGACCTTTCCAGCGAGCTTGCGCCGGGAAGTTGATGCGCACTCCGAATCCCTCCACTTCCTTACGCAGGGTCCCCGCGGGGCGAAGAACTTAATATGCAAGAAATGGCACTTGGAATTGAAGCCCCCCATGCCTCACTGTGCTTTCTGGCTTTTTGGAATGCAGCGCCTCCGACTAAAGGAACGTTTATCACAAGTTGGGCTTTGGAACACCGCGACAGCGCTAATTGCCCCACCTCCTCACTACAACAGCTTTGCAGGAACGGCAAAACATGATGTCGTGCCAAGTGCTATAGAAGCTTTGCTGCAACTAATTCCCCGTCTCCCACACAGGCTCCCCCAAGGCATCAGATAACAGCAGGAAGTGCTGACATTTATCACATCGACAATTGCGCACATCACATCGCGAAAGGAAGCCATGCAAACCTTCTTTCAGCGGTTCTGGGAGTGCAGGGCGACAGGGTCTTCTTAAGTTGGTACCGGCAGAAGAACGGCGACACAGACCCCTGCAACACCCTTTGCCAAATACGTAGGCGGATTCAGCGGCTGATTCAGTACACACAGCCCTCAACATGGAAATCTCGAAGCCAGGCATCCGCCACGCGCCCCAGGTCTCCCTTGGACACGTTTTGCCAGCCATACTCTGGCTCGTCCACATCGCCTCGAACCTTTGCAGATCTGCTGCTGGGCTTCGATTCTTTGTGGCGAGCTGGCATTCCGCTGTGGGGTTGCTGCAGTTGCTGCGGGCTTCTTGGATGCTGCATGGTCCACAAGACAAATGTAACACACGTACTGGAGGGTACTGGGACGAAACCTATAGCGCGGTTGCCATGGGCCAGAGTGACGTCTGCTTCGTCGGCGTGCACGGTTTCAGGGGCTAGGCTGATAATGAAAGACCAGCGCCCGTATTTTCACTGCTCACGCAGTCAAGGCTAGAAATACTTCATCTTCGCTCGCAAACGCGAGGCATCGTCCGTACTAGCTGCAAGTCTTTTCTGTTGCTGGAAGTTTGTTGCGAAGGAGACTACAAATCTGTTTCATGGACTTCCGGTTCGGCCGGGCCTGTGGCTCTGGACCGAAAAGAATCCACGCAGGCCCAGGAAGAGTCGTCTCTTACAGCCGTCTCCACCAAAACGCATCAAGACCCAGCTCTTTTGAGAAAGGCATCAAGAACTGCTGGCGGCATGTTCTTTCTAGTGCAGGTGCCGTTGTTTTTAATCACAGCACAATCTCCCCGAGTGACCCAACTTTGAAACCGGTCCCCGTGGCACGTGCAGCTCTGATGTGAGAGCTAGCATTGGTAGGCAAGACTGCTATAGCCTTGGCAACGCATTGCAGGGTTGCATCCCCTGCTCCGAAAGTGAACGCCATGGCCACCATGCCAACAAGCGGCTTGCACCACGGCTCCCACGAAGAGCTTGGGGATGGACTGCAGCGCGTAGTGGCGCAGTGACGCATGGGTTCATTGAAGCTTGAAGCTCTCTGAACATGACTGAACTGAACATGTTGAAACACTGCAGCGCCTGCAAGAACTTCTCCGACTCTTCTCTGGAGCAGAGCTCGACCTCCCCAGAGTGACGTACGAACGCCGCATGGCACCGCTTGCGCCAGAAAGGGCGATTACACTACATGGCTCACACATACTCTATCCCAACTGACCATTGCAAAGCCTAAAGGGGTGCGTGAGCTCCCAATTAAGCCCTGTTCTATCCTGTGTTTTGGCGTCCGAGCTGCCAAGCTAAAGTCTAAGCTGGACCGGGGCGAAAGGGGTCGGCACAAGGCTTACAAGGCTCACGCACGGGCTCCGAGTGAAACTCCTCGACATGCCTGTTCCGGTCTCGGCACCGCCAGCGCGGCAGAGAACGACAGCAACCTTGCTGAGCAGCTCGGATTTCACCGCAGAGTGATGAAAGCAATGGCTGCCGACTGGGAGATGTGGCCATGGATGATGGCATCGCCCTCCTTGCTGAGGCCACCCTGCACTCCAAAGACGAGAGGCTGAAAGTTGATGCTGGAAGCGAGCTCAGGCATGGCGCTGCTGCTGTCCCATGCCCCGCGAAAGGTGGCGGGCGGGCATAAGGCACTGGAGTTGGGGCAGGGTTGCCTGGTGCCATGCGGCAGCCGTTTCAGGAGCAGACCAGGGCGACACAGGAACACGTGAGCCGCCTTCAGGAGTGGGCAAGTTTTCTCAGCAGGTGGGGAGCTTCCAAGATGGGCTTGAACTCGCCCACATCGCAGTCATCATGTAGAAGGCATGGGAGCGGTGGTACGCTTTGAAGAGTCGCGTCTTAGGTTGTTGTCGGTGACGAGTTCCAGGTAGGCCTTGGGGTTTATGTTTCAGAACTCGAAGCAAGGCGTTGAAGCCCTGGGCCACCGCACGGCACGGGGATTCTCATCTTCAGGCGATTCTCCATTTGCTCACCAACTGAGGCATGGTGAAGCTTGGCAGGAAGAGCCGGAACCTCCCGCCCTCCCCCCCCCCCCCCCCCCCCCCCCCCCCCCCACAAAAAAAAAAAAACAAGAAAGCTTGGTGCAGCCATCCAACAGGTATCGCAGCAAACTTCAGCAAATCCACCGCCAGTAACTTCAGAACCCTCCTTTTGGGCAAAGTGACTGACTCTCCTAGTCAGTAAACACAGGGATTCAGAAAAAAGCTTACGCGTTGGAGGATGTAGAGACATGAGCAGCTCTGTGTTGAGCCCCAGCCTCCAGCACGCGACCTTTCCAGCCTGCTTTGGCTGGAAAGTCGATCAGCACATTGAATCCCTCCACTTCCTTACAGCAAGTCCGGGCGCGAGCACACACTCATGCTGCTGGCAACAGCCTGACCTCCTCGTGAAACTGCATGTACAAGTGCAGTTTCATATTGCAACAACTCGTACTTCGACGCCTGCACCGGCTCTGCCCTTCTGCAATATTCTGCAATGTCCACTCACATGGGGACTGGAAAGCCACCCCCATGCCTCGCCTGTGCTTTGTCTTTTTTTGGTATGATGTGCCTCCGGCGCAAGCATGTCGGGCATAAAAAGACCGAGCCAGCGCTAGTTCCTCCAAAACACGGCAGAGGACATGATAAGTGGAGGTCTTCTTTGCAATAGCAAGCCAAGGTGCTGAGTGCCAGCTTTGCTGCAACTAATTCTGCCACGTCCCACGCAGGAAGACTGCAGGCATCAGCAACACATTCGCATCCCGCTGCCTATATTGGGATTCTAGACGCCCTGAACGCTAAACCCTAAACCCTAAATGACAGATATTGCAGCATTCCTGGAAGCTCGCGCAAGCATGCCCGACAAGCGTGCACATTACATTGCGAAAGGAAGCCACCTAAAACTTCTGATGTAGGCTTGGTGTTCTTGATCTGGACGCCAAGCTCAATTTCCTGAATATTTGTAGAAAGTCTACAGCATCTTGTCTTTGCCATGGCAGGTAGGATGTGTATTCTTGGTATCTTCACCAACATGAAAAGGAACTCTGTATACATTCACCAACAGCCACCCAAAAAACACCCTTACTGCAAAAACACACAGCCCTCAACATGGAAATCTCGAAGCCAGGGATCCGCCACGCGCCCCAAGTCTCCCTTGGACACGTTTTGCCAGCCATACTTTGGTTGGTCAACATCGCCTCGAACCTTTGCAGATCTGCTGCTGGGCTTTGATTTGTTGCGGCGGGCTGGCATTCTGTTTTGTGTTGTGGGGTGGCCTGTTGTGAATTTATATAATGTTGCTGGGAGGAAAGCTGGTGCAGTTGCCTTGGGGCGAGGGCTACGTCAGCCTCATCGGCATGTATGGCAGCAAAGGTTCAGGGCAAAGCTTGCAATAGCTTATAGAGACCGAGGCCTGGCCTTCCGAATCTTTTCATGGCCGGCTCGGCCCGTGTGGCTCCGGACCGGACCGAATGTGTTCAGGCCAAGGACGAGTTGGAGTCTATAGGTTTCCTTATGTGTCAGGCACCTGCCAAACATCCGCTTGCAGCTGTATCCACCAAGTTAGACAAGCTTGGGAAGACAAGAGCCAATTCAATTCAGGAGCTAGGTCTTTTATGTTGAGCAAGAAGTCGCCCCAGCGTTCCCCCCAAGGACGACCTATAGTGCACAATAGTAAAAGCCGGTCCTGGTGGCATGCACATTCCTGATCGTAAGGGCTGGCTGTCGTGATGTTCCTATAACTTCCGGTGCGGGGCATTTGCATTGGTCATAGCAACTTAGAAGCGCAATGCCTCTAAGCGGCTCGCACCACGGCTCCCACGAAGAGCTTGGGCATGGACTGCAGCACGCAGCGACGGGGTGGGTCCATTGAGACTTGGAGCCGTCTATGTAAGCATGACTCAGAACTCTCTTGTGGAACATCGTGGAACACTGCAGCACCTGCACAAACTCCTCCGACTCCTCTGCAGAACAGAGCTCGACCTCCCGAGTGCCATGAGGTCCCAGAAAGCACGACCACAAGCATAAAGACTCCAATCTCACTCACGGGTTTTGGCCCCGGACCGAACTTGCTTCTCAAGTAAGTGTCTACAACAAGCCCAGAGCTTGAGGCCACACAGCAATTTAGGTTTCAGGTTGCCGCCCCGCCCTGCCTCGCCGACGGGGAAGTATCTCCTCTCAGACGGAAACTGGACGAACACATCGTTTTCGTAGTCCACGAACTCGGCCAATTGCCCATCCGAAAAGCAGAGAGTCAAAGAGCGCTCAGCACCACTCTCGCATTCACAGCCGGGCGTCTTCCGCAAGCCCTTTCTCCCCTTTGGACACCTTTCCCCAGCCACGCTTCGGCTCGTCGATGTCTCCTCGGACCTTTGCAGGCTTCAAGTCCGAGTTTGACCGCGCGCTCTGACTACAATCGCATGCTGCAACTCCACATTTCCCTGCGCTCGTGCACTTGCCTTTAGCAGCATTCCCCGAAGGTGAGCATGGGGAGAAGAGAGGTGCCGGGGAGATTACAAACACTCGCATAGTGGTCGAACGAAGCATCGGCCGGATCGACCGTGTACTATTCCGTGTGAGGCCCGGCGGGCCCACATCCCTCTCCCTCTTCGGACGGGTCTTCTGCGCTTCGGAGATTTTAGGGGTTTTGGGCGCTTTCTCCTCGTATCAGCTTTTTGGGTAAAACGCGGGGGCCCCTTACATAATAATTATAGGGCATCTGTAAACAGCATTCGCAAAGCTGTAGCTGGCATGCTGTGGGATGCTGTGGGATGCTGTGGGATAGGGTTTCAGAACCGGAGCTTGATCGAGCTTGGGCTTTTGGGCGCCGCTATGAGTCATTATCGCCATCAGGTACAGCATTACTGCAATTGATGGCTCCGATCAGGCAGTTGGCCAAAAAACACCTTGAGCTTGGCAGGAGTGCGCCGAGCGAGCCCCGATGATCCCTGCAAGCGGCTCGCACCACGGCGCCCGGGACGATCTTGGAGCTGGCCTGGGCCTGGGCGCACCCGTGGAGGGCCGATGAGGGGTGCGTGCAACTCCAGGACGCTACAATTGTCAGTGCGTTGCGCCTGCAGGAACTTGTCCGCCTCTTCTGCAGAACAACGCTCCACCTCGCCACTTTTGGCATCAACAATTGCTTCACGGGCAAGTTCGACTAGGCTGTGACTAGACAAGCTGCGTGGAAGAACCGAAAGCACTCTTGAGCAGCTCAAAGCTCCGACTCACCCGACCCTTGCACCCTGCGGATTCACACCCTCGTGCTTCTATTTTGCATTAAGCCCGGCTAGTGAGCGATCTCTGGATCCTTGCTTCAGTCGCTCAAACAAGAATCAGAATCATGTGCCTTGAGCGGCAAGGGCCCTGAAGGTGCTGGGAGTCAAGCAGAACGGGGTTTCGGTCTCGGAGCTCCAGCCTCGTCGATCTCGACTTTGCATCTTTTCCACGCCTTTTGCGTAGGAAAGTTGACGCGCACGTTCGTCCCCATCACTTCCTTGCGATGGAGCCACGGGCTCAAGCGCTCGATGCTTCGACGGACTCCCAAAACCTGGACCAAGCCTAAAGCCTCAGGGCATCGGTGACTGCGCGACCTCCGCCCCCCATGCACCCAGCTTCAAAGAATGCTTTCGCGACTTAGCTGGAGCCGGGGGAACTGAAGATGAAGGCTCCAGCAAACATGCTTGACAAGCCAGGCCATGAGCCCAGTTCATATGGGGTTGATAATTTAATGATTTTCGGGGGCAGACGGTTTCAGGATGCTGCGTTGCCCCCCGTTTCGGCCCCAAAGCCGTAGCTCGGGGCCTACTGCGAGGCACTGCGTGGGACGAGCTTCATTCAGGTTCAGGTTCGGGCCTAACTCACCCACCCTATAGGCCCCGACCTACAGTAAAGCCCGGAGTCAAAAAAAAGAAGGAGTCACCTTGAAAAAACAATCTGATGCTCGTTGGTGGCTTTCGCGATTTAGCTGGAGCAAGCCAGGCCATTGGCTCAGTTCATAGCTTTGCCCCCCGGTTCCGGCCCCAAAGCCGTAGCTCGGGGCCCTGCCAGGCCACCGCCCAAACATCAATTAGGGAGGGCTTGAAACCCAGGTTCTTTAGAGCACTTCCCCCTGGTGCTTGTTGAAGACCCGAAAAGGTCGGCAAACACAAAAACCTAACCCTTTGCCTTCCAGGATTTGCACGACGGCTGAACCAGAGTCGCAATGTCTGCAGGCCAAGTATCGATCACGCAGCCCGTCTCCTCTTTGGACACCTCTCCGTTGTACTTCGACTCGTCGATGTCGCTTCGGACCTCGCACTAAGGGAGTGCCTGCCAAGGCATTTGGTAGTCCAGCGCCGTTGTTTTTGCAGATGCTTCCATTACTTTGCAACGGTCCTCAATGCAAGATCTTCAACACTCTATCACAAACGCACGTATTCCCTAAAACTGGGAAGTGTCCCAAGCAGCTCGCACCACGGCGCCCGTGACGAGCTTGGAGGTGATGGCCTGCGGCAAGCAAAGAGCAACAGCCGATGGTGACGGGCGCGGCCACATTCAGGAAACCGCGAGATGAATTCAGGAAGGCAAAGTCAGGAAAACCTCTAAGAGAGAAAGAGGCATTCTAGAACGACAAGGCCCTTATAGTAGTTCATACGTAAGGTAACTAGTCGGAGCTAAGGTCACCACCGGCCAGGGTCACATTGGGGTGATGTTGTGGACGCTGATAACCTTAACCGTAGACCCAATAAGCTCAGTCAAACCCTAAACCCTAAACCCTAAACCCTAAACCCTAAACCCTGAACCACCCTGAACCCTGAACCTTAAACCCTAGACCCTAGACCCTAAACCCTAAACCCTAATTAGGGCTTGAACCCTACAGCGACTTTGTGAGAACCCCTACAATCTAGACCTTTTGCATCCAGGGCTATGAGACTTCCGTGCAGGCCAGTTTGTGCTTCGGACGGTGTAGGGTTATAGTCTACAGGGGGTCAGGCAATGAGGTGTTGTCGATAAGTGAACGTGGAGGCTTAAACTTGCGAGCCATGAAATTGTGCTGAAGCTCGCCGCAGCATTTTGCAATTTCAAAGCACCCCCTTTCTTGGCATAACATATTCCCTCTGCATGGCATCAGGGCAGAACGAGCCCGTATTCCTTCATCGACATACTGAGGTTCATTTTGTGTGTCAACTTGTTAAAATTCTTGCACATCCAAAATGAGCACGTGCAGGACTTGCTCGAATTTGTTCCCAAATGGCCATGCTCTTGGGGAGCCATTTTGGGGCCTTACTGGCAGCTCTTGGATGCTGTGGAGAATTTATGGAAAATCCTGTGGGTTGAGTTTGTGCCCGCGAGCCACATTCGAATCCGAGCTACTCCGTCACGCTGAGCTGCTGTCAGCCGACGACCAAACACCCAAGCGATGGGGATTGACTTCTCACAGAACTACGACGCCACGTTTGCTGTAAGTATGATGAACTGGCGTGTGGGCAATAGCGGAAGTATATGCGCCATTCTGTGCCCCAGTGACCACCCGCTGGCTTGCCAAGAGTCGGCGGTCACTCGCGCACGAGCTTCCCACAAGGCAGCCCTGAGTGAGAGTAATTTCAAATTCCACATCTTGCGACCAGACATGGGCGCGTGCAGGGCCTGCTCAGCGTCCATTGAGTTTGTTCCCACATGACCGCGCCTTCTGGGGCGCCATTGTGGGGCCTTACTAGCATTGAATTAGTGCCTCACAGTGACCGCCCCCCTGGCTTGCCAAGAGTCGGCGGTCACTCAGGCACGAATTCTTCCCACAAGAGAGCCTTCTAGTAGCCCTCAGTGAGCGTGTTTTTCGAAAACACTTCCATTCTTCCACATCTTACGACCAATATGCACACTTGCAGGACTTGCTGAGTGTCCTTTGAATTTGTTCCCAAATCTCCGCGCCTCTTGGCGGAGCCATGTTGGGGCTTTATTGGAGCAGCTGTTCGACTCCGTGGAGGCTTTTGGGGAAGTTTTGTGGGTTGAATTTGTCCCCCTAGGGACCGCTCGCTGGCTTGCCAAAGTGGGCGCAGAAGCAAGGCGTGTTCAATTGAAGCGTGAAGCTAGAGTAGCTCCATGAAGCACAATCCCAGTTTCCCTTGTGGCTTTCCTGTTTTGTTTCGTGACTCTCAGAGACCGGTTCCTGACTCTGTCTTTCTCCTTTCGTGAATCTGCGTTGCTGACTCTTCTCTCCGTTTCCTGACTGAATGTGGCTGCTTCGGGCAGATGACATCGAGGCTTTCAAGTTTCCAGACCCAGTGCTTTTCCAACCTACTTGCCACGACTGCGCTAAACAGAACTGAACATTGAGAAAAACACTGCGGCGCCTGCATATATTCTTGTGCCTCTTCCGAAGCACAGATCTCGACCTCCCGAAATCACACTTGTCAGCCAAAGCTCCATGCGAAGAACACATGTGAAAGTATAATATGATGCTAGGGGATATCTGTTGACTCGGTATGCTGCACGTGCGGTCGCTGATGGTATGGGGTCGTGGACAGCTTGCTTGTTACATAAAACCTTCTCCCGCCTTATCGATCTCGCCTTGCCATCCCAACTGCGATGGAAAGTTGACCCGAACGTCGGTCCCGCACACTTCCTTGTGGGAGTGTTGGCGCTCGGGAGGGAGTGAAGTCTTGGCGAGGCCCTCTAGAGCCCGATCTCTATCAGGCATCTACAATCAGTGCTGAGAAGGAGTACACACATACATCTATATGTATATGTATATACATATATATATATATATGTATACATACATACATGTATACATACATACGTGCATACATACATACATACATACATACATACATACATACATACATACATACATACATACATATCATAGGCATACAAATCTTCATTGAGAGGGATACAAAGCAGATCTGCGCGCTCAAAAATAGTATGGTTCCACAATCGGTGTGTGTGGCCATGGATGCGCCAGCGTGCTCTCCGCGAACTGGCAGCCGGGCATCGGTCACGCGCCCCCGCTCTCCTGGAGACATGTGACTCTCGTGCCCAGGCTTGTCCACATCGCCTCGGACCTGAGGCATTCAATGCTTGCGGCCGCTGATCCCCGAAGCTTGGATTGCCGATCCAAGTGGCTCGCACCACGGCCCCCGGGAAGATGGGCTGCGAGCAAGCAATCTCGATGGATGCGCTGACAGCAAAGGAGCTGTGGTTTCTCGTGTCGAGCCTGGAACTTTTCCGCTTCTTCTGCACAACACAGATCCACCTACCAGACGACACCCTTCCTCCCCCCCCCGCCCCCGGCCCGCTTGGGCCGGGTTGATCCCAAGCTACGTTGGAGGAGAGCCTGCTACTGGCACTGCATGTGGCATGTCGAGCTGCAGCCAACCCAACCGGACATGACACTCTGGCGCTTGCCCTGTGACTTCGCTGAATCGCTTCCACCGCCCATCCCCCGCCTCGTCGATCTCGCCTCTCCAGTCTTTGTGGGATGGAAAGCTGACGAGGACGTCAGTGCCGCTCACTTCCTCATGGCCGGGCACAAGACTGCAGCTGCACGCTCGAAGGGCAAGACGAAACGTGCAGAGCCCAGACCATCGATCTGCAAATGGGAAAATTGGGTCAGGGTACTCGTCTACGCTGCGAGAACTTTGAGACTATACATTTGAGCTTGTGATTGAAAAGCAACCCTACAAGCCCTTCTGCCACCTAAGGCCGCCAAAACATGTCCGGCCAGCCTCAGAGGGCTACATTCACAGAGACCTCGATACTTGGCACTGAATCTTGCTGCCGGGCATCCGTCACGCACCCCAGCTCACCTTTGGACACTGTACCCCGCTTGCTCTCATCGACGTCGCCTCGGACCTTTGCAGAGCTTGCTGCTGGGCACTGGTTCTTCACACACCAGCAATCAGCAGCACTCAAAGGCTTCGAGGTTCACAGCATGGTGCAAACGTGACCTGCACCCCGAAGGGAGGGTTGGGAGCACGAAGCATTCGAGAGGTCCAGGACTCTGTGGCCCAGAAGTGGCGCAGGGTTCCTCCTTGCCCATCCTCCAGGCCTCTATCATCCTATCATCCCAGTCCCCGGTCTGTTCCCGTGCCATGAAAGGCATGCATTTAGACACCCTTTATCCTTACAGCATCTGAGAAAATCTAAGCTCCCAAACTGGGAAGCCAAAGCCCAAGCAGCTCGCACAACGGCGCCCGTAACGAGCTTGGAGGTAATGGACTGTGGCAAGCAGCAAGCATATTCAACAAGGCCCATCGAGAAGTACTGACACATTGAACATGCCTTACCAATGTGGCGCCTGCAGAAACTGTTTGGCCTCTTCCGAGGAGCAGAGCTCAACCTCTCGGATGCGATACGGTGCACAAAGCTCCATGGAAGAGTGAGAATGCGCACACCTCCACGATCTTCGATCGCTTTAGAAAGGTTGACGCCACTGGGTCAAGGGCAGCTCGCAAGTTGAGTGTCCCCCCGGCCTCCGTGACATCGCCTTTCCAGCCCACCTTCGAAGGAAAGTTGATCTGCACGCGGGACCCCTTCACTTCCTTAAGCCAGGCAGGTCTATGTATCGGTATCAAACCGCAGAGAGTGTGCATGTACCGAGTGCCGTAGGCGAGCGTCGATCACACGTCCGATTTCTCCTGTGTCCGGCTCGTGCTTCAGCTTGTCGACATCACTGCGGGCCTCGGGGCTCAAGGCTGCCAAATCTAGAAAGCACGCACGTCCATGCGTGTTTCTCGAGTGTGGCTGGCTGCCGGCGCTGTTGATCTTGATGGGTTGCGGTTTCAGATCAGACCGACAATCTTCATGACATGGCCGGACATGTGCCGAGCGCAGTCGCTCTCTCGTGTTGCGATGAAGTGCAGTGTCGCAAGAGGGCGGGGCTAAAGGTGGAAGGGGGGAGGGGCACGAGACCTTGACTTCCCGATGTTTCGGGCCTTAGGTCACCTATAGGCTGCTGTTGGCCGAAGGCAAAGAGCTGGTAAACAAGAACTCGCGAAACGCTCCAAGGAGCTTTGAAGTTCAGAGGCGTTCCCGAGCTATGACGAAAGGGCTGGGATGCTGGGAGCTCGGAATTCAATCGCCGAGCAGCTCGCACCACGGCGCCCGCCACAGCTGCGATGGACTGCAAGCAATGGACTGCAAGATACTGCAAGCATCTCGCTACACTGTTACAATTACAGTAGATAGGCTCCGTGAGATCGCCATTAAGCAGGATCGCTCTCGAGAATCCATGCCTGTAGCAAACAAAGACCGCTATAGGAGGCTACAAGCGTTGCATTCCGCTGCTGCTTTGCGACGTCGTAAGTCAAATTAGGGTGCATGCGGTGGAACAGACTTTCCACCCAATACGCCCTATGCAGGCTTTCATTTCGGGATGCTTCTTTGCAAGGAACTTGCATCGGAAAGAAAAGAGTCATCCCTTCCAGCTATGTAAGGACAACTAGACCCCAGGAGTAACCTAGGAATAAGAAGGGTGCCCTTTTTGGTTTAAAGGGGTTTATCAGGGAACCCAAACCCGAATTTCAGACTAAGGATTCTATATGTTGATGCGCCCCCTGTTCAGCAACTTGTAATCTTGTATGGTGTGCAAGTGTGCCACATGTGGAGCTCCGGAGCTGGAGGCCCAACAGGCAGCTACTACAAGGAGAAAACCATGAGACTGCAACATCAAGCGGCATCAGTATCCCGCATCAGTACCCCTTGATTCCTGCATATTCCTGCAACCCCTTTATCGCTTAGAAGAGACGCGGGCGCCTTGAAGCACAGACCCTTGGCGCTGATCTCACTGCTCTGCGTGGAGATGACGGCGATGCTGTCGATCCTCTTCGGTAGCAGCGCGCCCTGCCATGGAGGCCGGAGCCGCGAAGGCACCAAACAGCTGGCCACAGCTTCAGCTCAGCACAACTCACTTATATAGTCACGGCAGATCGCAGCCCCGCGCCGTGCAGATGTTGGTGGGATGTGGAATCTCCACGAACTGCGCGTGCACCTCCCGCCGCTTCAAGAGCGGCACCACGGCCTGGCACCCGCACTGAGGGCTCTGCAACTTTTCGGGTGGAGAGGGCGCCTATACATGGCTTCATGCGGCTTCTACTTTCCACATCGGATGAATATCGGGAGCCTCTTCCGGAAAGTTCAGGTCCGTGAGCAGCAAAGTGGGTAGGCACTCCAGGTCCTCCTTCAGAAGCCGGGCCAGGCAGTCCGCAAACTCTTGCCGGGCAGGACCGAAGGGCTTCCCCGGCAGGTGCCTGTGAGCAGCCGAGCGAGCAAAGTGCCAACAACCTAGTAAATCGTCACAATGATCTATCGCTATATCCATCCGAGCTGAGGCTCGTCGTCACCAGGCGGAGACTAGTCTTGGAACTGTCCATGGGGAACTTGAACTTGACCTCCATGATGACCTTTCAGCCAGCCACAAAACAAGGGGAGCAACAAATCCAGAAGTGAAGCTAGCAAGTCACCTCAAGTTCTGGAAAGAGACTGGGCAATATGACACTGATATGTGACTTCAGCAAATCCGATGATATGTGCTGCACGTATGTTGTTATGTTTGAGCCCAGTGCCGTACTGCGACCTTCTAGCACCTCCAGCCCCCCCGCCTAAACACCCCTGAGCTGACGTGATGCTGGCGCGGCTCCTGGCCTTCTTGGCGTCGGCCGTCGTGTAGGCTGCGTGGCCGCGGTGGCAGGTCTGCTCCACCAAGGTGAGAGACTCGCGGTCGAAGACCACAGCCTTTAAAGCAAAGGCAGAGTTCGAAGATTTCGGGGGTGGGTCTTTCTAGGTTCTTCCACAAAGATGTCACACTCATGTGCAAGTGATTTCAGAGGATAATGGGATCTCACTCTTGTGCAGCGGATCAACGGGGCGCCTCCTGGTTCGCATCCTCCTCGCCACTTTGCAGCACCTCGTAGCGCCCGTGCTTGTTCAGCCTCTTCTTGAGGATCCGCAGGAAGTCCGGGGAGCACTCTTGCAGGGAAAGCAGGTGCACGCGCTCCACGTGGGGAAACACGGGGTGCAACATCCCGTAGACCAGCTCTGCAACCCAACGCTCCCTGCCATCTGCCCATGCATCGCCTTCCTCGCCTCCTGCGCCCTCATCCGGGGTGCCGTGGAGGGTGGAGATCAAGGAGCCCTGGAGCCCCTGTGAGTCGCTTTGAATGTACTTGTAGTAGCGCTTGTTCAGGACGTTGTAGGAGGCCGCGCGGAGCTTCCGGCCCGCCACGAAGATGACGGCACCCACCGGAAGGTGGTCCGAGGGCATTTGCCACTGCCACCCCAGAGGCTTTGCGAGGCGGGGCATGGAGCCCAGCATGTTTGTGACCACCAGCCCGGCAGAGCCCTCCAGCTCCAACTGCACGGCTTCCAGCACGTCCCGAGCCCTCACCTTCGTAGAGACCTTCTCCAGCTTGGCCAGGCAGAGGGAGACAGATGCGAGTCCTTCGCTGGCAGCTTCCCTTTCCATGCCAGCGGCAGCCTGCTTCTCACGCAAGAGCTTCAGCTGCAGCCCCTGCAGACGGTCGCCTGACGCCATATGGTACACTGCATTCTGCTTGAACACATGCTGTTCATGTACGTTAGTTACAAAAAAATGTGAAACTGACTTACTGATTGGGATGCCCAGCCCAGCGACACAAGGCGGCCACGTCCGCAAAGGCGTCGTCCACGGCCGTGTTGGTGGGGCGTGCGGTTGAGTCAGACCTGCCCGTGGCCTGCGCGGCTTTTTTCATCATGCCAGCCAGGGCCTCCGCGTGGGCGGCTGCTTGGCAGAGCTCGGCAGCCCAGTGCTGCAAGAGCGGCTGCAGCAGCTCCAGCGCGGCCACATGGGCCTCTCGCCCCAAACCTCTGGCTGACAGGAAAGCGCTCCTCTCCCAGAGGCGTTTCACCTCGGCATATCCCGAGACTTGTTATGACACACGCGCCGACGCACACACAAAAGCTTGTCACACACATCCACTGACAATAGCAGGTGCCTGCGGTATGCATGCAAAATAAACGATCACGTCATGTCGCACTGAGAGCCGCATGCCACACGGAGAGCGTGCGAAGAGAAACTTTCCACAACTGAGGAGCCTGCGTACTTCACTGCCTTGGGGTGCTTGGCAGAGTAGTCCTTCAAGCCTTCTTCCAAATATTGGATGAACAGTCCGTCCTTGGACACTGGGGTGATGAGCCTGAGGGGGTCATCCTTGCCAATGCGGCCGACGTAGAGCACGTTGGTGATCTCGAAGAAACGGGGCGCATCTCTTGGCCGGTCCTGGAAGAGGCGCGTCTTCGCAAAGATGTCGATCTTGGCCGTGCGGCCTCTCGCGCTGCATGCCAGTGCTGACACCAGATCCACCATCTCTGTAATGGTGGTGCCCTGAGGCTTCTGAAGCTTGACCTCCTTTTTGCCTCTCTGCAGCTCCTCCAAGGTCCACGTCAGGAGACGATTCGGGTCTTCGGAGGTGGGGTCCCCCGTCTTCAGGCCGGCCCAGTGGACGGCCTTGCCGGCCATGCTGCCACCGCCCCATCTGAGTCCAAACTTCTCCTGCAGCCTTTTCGCCAACTGCTCCAACGCCTCCTGGTCCGTGTCCGCCTCGAGGACGACTTGCTCAGAGAGGTCTACGTCTCCAGGGTGGTCGAAGGCCTTGAACCTGAAGCTGCCCGAGGGACGGGTGTGGTCGTACATGGAAATTTCGGAGATCACGCCTCGGAGTTCCGGGCTGAGATCCAGTTGAAAACGTTCCACCAAAAGAGCCGCCAATCGGCAGAGCTCACAGCTCCCAGGGCATTCTGCTTTCAGGCACGGAATTCTTCTGGCCAGCTCTTCCACAATGTCCCTTGTGCCACCCCTCATCACCGGCAGAGCCCCGATCCGGAAGCCCATGGATCTGTGGAAGGCGTCGCGGGCTTGCCGCAGAAGATCCTCCGAGCTCGCGTGGATCCGCAGAAGCTTGGGTTGCGCGACTGGGAAGAGCGATACATGGACGGTGCCCGCCACAGAGCGGGCCTCCAGTCGGTTGCTGAAGAGTTGGGGCGGCCCGGATTTCAGTTCCGAGTTGGCTTTGGAGAGCTGCTGGTGGAGTCGCACGGCGAGCTGGGGGAAGAGCTGGGCAGTGACGAAGCCGTCCAGGTTGACGTAGATCACCTTGTCTTCCGGCGCGATGGGCGGCTCGGGAAGTTGAGTTGCAGGGAGGCAGGATGGGATCGTAAACTCCGCCTCAGATCTCTTGACCATCAGCCGGCGCTGGATCATCACCTCCCTCAGCAGCTCTCGCTCATTCTCTGCGAACTCCGGCCAGAGCGTGTCCATGAGCTGTGCACTGATGATACCACTCGTCCTGAACCGGAGCACCTGGCAATGCATGGTGAAGATTTCTCGCATGGAAAGTTCAAAACTGCATGGTGAAGTTCCTGGTGGATTTGGGAGTCCCCTTAAATTCACGTTTACGTAAAAATATGAGAACAATAGGGGGGGCGTGGCTGCAAAAAGGCGAGGTGCCTCCCCACGATCCGCTTGAGACACCTTCGCATCCATGTCCTTCACGAAGGCCTTGGAGTGCGCCCAGTGCCCTGCATCTCGGAAGCGCACGAACATCAGGCTGCAAAGGGCTAGCGCCACCTCGCGGAAAGTGAAAGAGACACATTTAACGGATACAAACATGCTGTCTGCTGGCCCTTTTGCCTTTGTGATCCCGCTCCCCTCTCCCATCCCACCATTAGTCCCCACCTTGCGGGGGTTCAGCATCACCAGCTCTTGCAGCTCTTCTGGCTCATGGAACCACACCAAGCTGCCCAGGCTGTGCAGCAGGGAGAGAAACTGTTTCACGTCGCCTCGCACTTGCACAGGCACTTTTCATCAACCATGCAAGCAATCTGCATCTCGAACATCATATGAAACCCCATCTACGGCAAAGTCCTTCTTCGCGAAGTCTGACTCTATGTGAAAGCCGTGCAAACAGACAAACAAACATATAATGTACTTGTAACGAGACTTATAGGGACTCAGAGGTTGAGATTGACTTACATTGGTTTGTGAGAGAAGGTGACTCCGCGCCTGGCTCCAGGGCCTGCGGGCGCATCCCGAGCAGCAGCTCCTCCACAGTCTCGTAGGGCAGGAAGTCGTAGGAAAGTTCCACGACCTGACTTCCACAGCCTTTGCAAACTCCTGTTTTGAGGGCTGCATTTTTCGGTGCCAGCATCTCTTCCCCGCTGCTTGCCTTCATCCTCAATGGCCTCTTCAGCGAGCCACGTCGTCGATACCCAAGTTGGCCGCCGCACCTCGGGCAAGCTGCGGGGTCTTCGCTCTCTTTGCTACCTTGAAGTTGTGCCTTCCTGTTGATCTCGTTTAGGTCAGCGGTGCCCCGGAGCCCTTGGCCAAGCTGGGCGAGGAGGTCGTGGCCTCGGAGCCAGGGGATTGGGTACCGCTCTGAGCAGATGCCCGCGTGGCAGGCGCTTGGCTCCTTCTCCTCACATTCCTCACTCTCCTCATTTTTTTCCTTCTCCTCCGCTTTTTCCCTTTTATGGCTTGGCTCGCTGGGATCGCTGCGCTCGGTCTGGGGGAGGACCATCTCCAGGCCGGCCCGGGCCACGGCCGCACGCAGTTCCGGGATGCCCCTGCAACCCGAAGGCGCCTGAGGCTTGTTCTCCACCCCGAAGAGCCAGCAGCAACCGCACTCGTCATCCTGGCTCTTCTGCAGTTGGCTTTTCAGGCCCAGCACCTGCTCCAGCAGGCTTTCCATGCGCTGTTGCAGCCACTCCTCCATCCCGGTCCGCCGCTCGGCCCACCGGGTCCCCACCAAGAAAATTGGGGGCTTCGGGCGCGCTGTGCTTTCAGCAACCTCTGCATCCTCATCCTCGGTCCACTCTGGCGCCGGCTCTGTCCACTCTGGCGCCGGCTCGCTGGCATACTGGGCGATCGCCCAGAGCCAAAATTTCAGCTCCTGCCACTCCTCCTCCGGGTCTCCACTCAGGTCGACGAAGACCAAGTACATGGCGCGGCTGGAGAAGTATAGCAGATTAAGCTGAGAATACTCGCGTTGGCCAGGAAAGTCCCAAGCCTGGAGCCTCAGCTCTGGCTTAGGACCTGCAGCTCCTTCCGTTCCGCCCTGCCGTCCTCCCAGCTTGAGTAGGAAGTCCGCGTTCAGTGGCGCCGGCCCTACCAGCTCTGCTGCCTCCGCCGCCTCCACCACCTGAGCACCCTGCCGTTGCGGCGACGCCGCTGCCCCCACCCTTCTGCCACCATCCTCGGCCTTCGGGGAGCCTGGCGGACCTCTCTGCTGGACAGGCGCCTGCTTCCCTCCTGCCTCCTCCCCATGCTTCTCTTCCTCCTCTTCTTGCTCATCCTCCTCAGGCTCTTGCTCCTCCTCAACCATGCTAAGCGCCCCGAGAGCGGCCCTGTCCATGATCTTGCCTTGAGCCTGCTGCCACTGGGCGGAGAGGTCCGACGGCACCTCGCGGGTCCAAACTTCCACGCCCACCGTGGACTCCTCCTCTTGCTCTGGCAGCTCCTCTCCCCGCAGGCGCCTCGCAGCTTAGTCAGCATGCTACTGCATTTTCCGAACCCCCTTCGAACCAGCTGCTCCGCTAAATTATTGCTTTACGCTCAGCATCGCTCAGCTCAGCGCTACTCCGCAGCTTCGTGATATCAAATTCATCCACGTGCGTGTGCATCTGGCGCTGCTCTGTGCTCCCCGCCCTGCCTCAGGGTCGTCGTCTTCCCGACACGGCCCCTGCCCACCAGGCAGAGCCGCAACACTGACAAGGGCTCCCTGGCTTGCGCGTGCCACCTGCAGGGGTCCGAATGGCACCGTTCTCGGCATGTCTTCCGACAAAACCGCGACAGGCCTCTGCGATGGATAGGACTGGACTGACATGACCTGCCTCCAGACTCCATACCCTAGACCGCTTTAGACTGGAACGGCTTCCGCTCAGAATGCTTGATATTTGGCTCTGGGGTCACCCAGGGTCTCAAAGCCTGTTTTCAGAGCAAGTGCCTTGCCAGCTCCCTTCCCAGGTGCAGAAGCTGGGGAAGATCCTCCAAAGCCAGGCGCAAGAAACAGAACTGCAAACAGAGCAGCGAGCGCGACCGCTTACAATGCTGCATGACAACCTCAATAGAAGCATGAACACCCTGCGCGTGGATGAGCATTACACAACGGCGGGTCAAGCCAGGCAAAGACTGTCAAGTTGCCACTCTGCTTGCGGGTGTGATTTTCAAGGTCCGGGGGTTGGGGATGGTCGATGTTCCTGTGATACAGCATACTGTCGCAGATTCCCGGGCGCTGCTTCCTGAGTCCCCCAATTCCGCAGCTTGAAGCTGCAAGGCAAGATCTCTGTAAGCTCCAGGGCCTACAGGACTTGATTCCTGAACAACAGCTGTTCAAGGATTGCGAACCAGGACTCGTCAACCGAGCGCCTGTCCCGCACTGCATTATCTTGCAGTACCGTTGTGGTTGCCGAGTTTTCCGGCTTAAGAAACGATATGGCCTCGTGAGAGGGGGCAGGCGTCGCCCATGACTTTCCTGCAGCCTGTATCAGCCTGTATCCTTGCATGAGGCAAGCGTTCTTCCATGAGGGTGGGCTGCAGAGGGGGCCGGGGAGGGGGGGAGGGGGGATCGCTATGTCGATTGCACACCGGCAGGTCACGTCTACGCATAGTGGCCCAACAATGTCCCTCCCAATCTCTCGCCATCGCGACATCGCGTCGTCGTGGACGACAAAGAGTTCAGCGCTTCAATGTCTTGCATTTTTGCTCCCAACCTCATGCTATACTCAGCTGCTTTGTTTTCCCAACCCACTGCTTTCTCAATCGGCGCGCTTTGGACTGTTTGTGAGCTGCGCAGCTGTTGGCTTCTGACTGACAGTGTGAGGCCTTCTCTGTAAACCCTGCTCTCGGGCTAAACCCAGCGCGTCAGACATGTCAAGCTTTGCATGCTTTCTGCACTCAATATCCTTGGCGCGGAAGAGCCACAGGTCGTCCAGGCCTCAGTGAGCAGGGAAGCCCCGAGCGCCCCAATACTTCCTTGCTCGGTAAATCCTGGCTCCGCACCCTTGTCTACGCCGACGCCTGAGGGAGTCAGCGGCGCGAAGACGGCTCACACGCATGCACCTCTTCCCCTGCCCTGGCCCGGGGCGGTTCGCAGCATCCCGCAGCTCTCGGCGCCGGACCCCCGAAGATCATCAAAGACCGGGACTTCGCATCGTAGGCGGTGGCAGAGGAATGTCTGCCCGCGGGCTGCGCGCCGGAAGGCCACAGCTGCTGCCAGCGCCCAGCCTGTTCCGACAGGGAACGCCCGCGCAAGGACCAGGTTGACACGAAGCCCCAGTTTCTACGCTTTGCTCCTAAACACTCTGAGCTTGGTCCACCTCAAAGGGGCCAAAGCAGCTGTTGCTCCGCATTGGTTGACCACCCGAGGGCTGTTGTGGGCTCATACTGTCGTTGACATAACTTTGCTGTGACCCTCACTTCGTGGGAGATGAGATGCGGACGTTAACTTACTTCTCCCGCTAACCAAGAGAAAAAAGCGAAACCTAAACCTATATTGTTCCTACTAAACAAGGGAAGCCCAAGAAGTTTCAAGTGCAACTATCGGCGAAGTAAGAAAGTTAAACAAAAAGGGACTACACTCTCGGACCCTCGCATCTGGACTTCGTTAGACGAGCGAGCGCTGGCACTCCGAGGCCTTGATGTCGAAGACCCACAAGTCGTCCAAATCTCAGCAACCCCGAGAACGAAACTCTCAAGCATGTTCCAAAAACACACAAGCAGCGAGAACCACTGAATCGATAAGGCAGATAAGGCATTGAGCCAGCAAACTGCAGAAAACGTCAACCCGCTGGTCCAGCCCACACATCCCGAAGCGACTCGCGCAATTACTTCCGATCAACGTCTCCATCACGGCCCTGACAATACGTGCGACGCATGGCAATGTTCCTATCTGACTTGTTCAGAGCTAACAGCGCAAGAGTTCCTCAGGACGAGGGCTGTCACCGTGCGTTCAGGGAACCTCTTGGCTGTGGCACCGAGACAGCCCGTGGTTGCACACAAGGAAGCCCCGTGGCTGGACATGCTCGAGTCCAGGCACCCTACGATTGTCACGAGCCTGAGGTTCCCGGATGTCGACGGCATGACTCATGACATGATGGCATCACCTCCATGCTGGGCTCACCTTTGACGAACCTGTTCGTTTGCTGCAGCGCCATCTCGGACTGACGAGATGTAGAGGAGCCACCTTCACTTTGACATGCCCCGCACTCCGAGTGATCGCTTCTTGGTGCTAGGTAGGACGGCCTGTGCACGAGAGTTGTGTTTGCTTGTGCGATGAAAAAGCCTTGATGGTTGCGATGGGCTCGGGCAAGACCCTCGCAACGTGCGTTCTGCAAAAAAACGTGTGAATAGCTGAGGTTTGCACGAGCCCCTGAGGCTTAGGGTGCTTAGGGTCTGTGCGCCTCTTAATAGGCCTTTGCGCCACCTTCTGCATCCTCGGGGTTTAGGTTTAGGTTTATCAGGTTTATAATACCCCTACTCTCATCTCACAGCCCCCAATCACTGTGCTTAGCTGAGGTCTGCACCAGCGCCTGACTGAGCAAAGCCTCAGCTTACTATGCACAACCCGTATGTTGGCACTGCTGCACGCGGGAGCGCAGGCCATCAGCTCAGAGCCAGGCCCCCGAAGACCAGCATGGACCGAGACTTCGGGTCGAAGGTCGCCGAAGACCAGCATCTTGCCGGCGGTCGCGCACCTTGGGGCTTCAGCTCCTCCCAACGCTTGGCCTCCCAGCCACAGCAAGCCGAATCAAGTTCGCATTTCCGATGCCGTCTGCAGCTACGATGAGTGCCTCACTGTAGAATCCTACGAGGAATCCTCCTCAATATGGAACATAAGCGCATACATCAAAAAAAGCCCCCAAAAGGGAATGCCAAAGCACCTCCAGGTCGAAGGTCCACACGTCCGAGATCAAGCCCGATCCCCCAGGAGTAACACCTTCTGACGTGGAACCTGTGCAGGCTCGGCATGGCATTTGTAAGGGCTGAGGACCCTTAGAAGCCCCCCATGAGAGCAATCCCGATCCGAAGAGCTCACGCAGAAGCTTGGGCGAGGGCCTCCGAAGATGACCATGGACCGGGACTTCGAGTCGACGGCCGTGGCGTGACCAGTTCTGGCTGGGGGACGCGCCCCGTCCGGGACGAGCTCTTCCCAGCGCTGGGCCTTGCCAGATGCAGATGTAGGACAGGCTCGATTTTGTTCAATTTTTTTTTGTCTCTCTCTCTGTCCCATCTAAAGCTTTCGAAGGAAAATCTATGCAGGCGAGGAGGGACGGTCGATCTTGGGAGATGCAGGCCACGAATGCTTGCAGTCACCTGAATATGGCTCCAGAACGACGCAAGCAACATGGCTTCAAGCCTGGAGGTCAAAGGCCCACAGGTCGCCGAAAACCTCGCCTTGCAGCGGCATGTCGTTCGACAATTCTCCCAAGCCGCCGTTGGAACCAGCACCTTGGCTCCCAGGCGCAGTATATTCTTGATCATCAGGGCAGAACCTGTCGGTCTACGTCTACACAGCTCAGCGCAGGACCGCCATAGACCACCATGGCATGGGACTTCCGGTCCCAGATCGCCGAATGACCCTCTCTGGCCGGCGGTCGCGCCCCCTCAGACTTCAGCTCCTCCCATTGCTTGGCCTGCCATCACGATCTGTCCCTCGTCAGCACACTGGAGCTTTGTGGGGAGGCTGGCGCAAAGCACAACGAGTGCTGTGTTTGGCATTCGACGTGCGGCACCTGTTGAATGGCATGCTAGGTGCTATCTTTCTATCCGCTGCATCCATCCTATATTATATATTTGCAATAGATCGAGATGACAAATTACAGCAGTTTGGACAGGGTCAGGGCGCCTGGACCCTGCTTCAAGATGTCAAACGCTCTACGCCGACTCTCCACACACCCTCCACACCACACTCTGGCGATCCAAGCATGACCCATCAACAGGAAACAGCACAACTATTATAGTTATACCCATGAAACAACTGCGAAATTCCAACGGTGAACATCCACCGACATGTTCAAGGCGACGGCGATTCGAAAACACTTTTGTGGATCGAACCGTCGGTTTTCGTCACCGTGCATTGGGCTGCAACCAGAAGCTTCAGCCCTGAGTCCTGGCACTTTGGACGGCTCTCTCGAGCACAAGGGCTGTTGAGGGACTCCGGGGCTCGTTATTCCCGACGAAGGCTCCACACCAGCCTGAAGCCGCCTGCATGGTGCACGGGTCTCGGGCTACTAATTGGTCAACAGGCCAACGAGAAGGCCGCGTCGTACTGTAGCTGCGGCTGTGAGAGAACTGGCAATCTTCCGAAACCAGCTCACTTGCATGTTCGATCAGCAAACTCAAGCCAGCAAACTCAAGCCAAGCCGCTCGCAGTACGCAAGCCACTGTTCTTTCCAACTCTCCAGTGCTCTGTTGTTGTTTTTTTTTTTTTTAACTTGGGGTGGCCAGCGAGCAGCAGACCATCAGACTCTCAACCCTCAACACAGGACGGCCCTTCGCCGGGCACTCGGCATCTATAGGATTTAGACAGTCCCCGTACAGATGCTAGACTCGCAGCCAGATAAGCATGCCCATGGGAGTTGGCAAGCAGACGTTCCGCAGATGAAGGCTGCACAGGAGGCCTTGACTTCGAAGATCCAGGTCTCGTCTGTCTTTGCGGCGTCGCCTTGAGATGCAAAAGGCACAGAACACTGAGATGAAGCAAAACAGCCAGCCGGAGGCCCGCACGCCCATCGCTGACTCGACCTTAACCCGGACATGGAATCTGTGTAACTGTACGGAGGCAAACGCTTGCAGATTGGTGGGGAAGTGCATCATGCCAGACAGAAAGCTTTCTAACAGAGAACTGCAAGGCTCCCCAATGGCAAGTACTTGTCAAACATGCTTGGGCTGTAGAGGTGAGAACCACAGAGAAAACTTCACCTGTTTCGTCAGCAATGGCTTCTTTGACCCTCGATTTCATCCTGGCCCTTGCCAGTTTTGGGATTTGAAATTGTATAGGTATGTATAAGTCCGACTGCATCGGCACATTGCAGGGTTCCAGGCGAAGCTCAGCGCGGCACCACCGAAGACCACGATGCTGTGCGACTTCGGGTCGCACACCGCCGAGTGAGCACCTCTGGGCGCGGGCCGCTCTGCCTCCTCCAGCGCCACCTCCTCCCAGCGCTGTGCCTGCCCACAGGAAACCGCAGGGCACACGATCTCGACAACTGCACAAACGCATTTGCATCCCTCACATCCATCGAGAACAGCTCGCCGCACGAGTCCACCAAAAACTGCTTCGAAGAATATCCAACATCTGAAACATCTGTGCAAGTTGGGCTCGGGGGCAACCTGACGACTCGATGGTGATTTGGGGAACTCGGGCGCCCATCTGCAATGTGATTGTTGCGTGGCCCCTGCGCAAGCTCCGAGCATCAGCAAAGGAGGACACGCACAAACCAGAAAGACATGGAGCCAGGATTCAACGGGAAGAAGGGTGAGGTTTTGAAGTTCTAGAGGTTGGGGTGAAAGAGCCTTGGGGCCGAGACCCGCCATCCATCACAACACTCACATGTCACCAGCTCCCCTTCTCCTGCTAACCCTCATTACCAACACACTCTATATGTAGCCAGGCGATAGACTGGGAAAGCGGCCCCATGCCGTGCCAAGTTGGCGCACATGTGTGATGTGGTGTTTTCAAAACATCGGACATGACATGCGAGTAAGTAGGCCCTGAAACAACAGACCAACATACAAACCTGCAAGAAAAATACAGAAACAGGCCGTACCTTAAGGGAGGAGGTGTCCAACCAGCTCGGCTCCCGAAACAGACATGCCACAGCCGCCACAACTGAGGTCACATGTTTTCCATTGTTTCAAGGCTGCCGAAGCCCAGAACAGCCACTGGCACCCATGCCCTGTCTGCATATTTCGGGGTGAAGAGCATGATGAACGTGTGATGAACTTCTTTAAGAGCGGCGTGGCTGTTTGCGAAAACAATTCCCGTGAAGCCTTGAAGTGTCCAAGAGACGTCCCAGGTCCCTTTGGGGAAATTCGAAACTGCAAAGTATCAGGTAGATCTTCTTGCTTCGCAGCGGTGCCACGAATCCCGGCACGGCGCGATTTGGGCTGATTGCATCTGGACCCCAGGCCTGCAGATCGAAGATCCACGTGTCAGACAACCCCTTGGCTCCGCTAAATCCTTTGCATGGGCTGGGGCGCTCCGGATTCACACGACAGGACACAAGCACACGAGAAAGCGTAAGGCAGCTCAGGATGGGGCCCCCAAAGACCACCAAGCTTTGGGAGGTCGGCTCGTAGGTCATCGAGTGTCCCAATCTTGGCGGAGGCCCAGATTCGGGGCTCAGCCGCTGCCAGCGCATGCCCTCCTCGCCATAAAAAGCTCCCAGGTGCAACAAAAGCTACGTGGAAGGCTCGCACCGGCCTCCATCATCGGCACTTCGACAAGCTCCGCCTGCAGTTGAGCGTGGAGCTGGGCGAGCATAAAGAGGTGACTGTTACAATCACAAAGGCACAACAGTGACTTAGAACAGCTTTCCCGCTTCCTCCCCTTTTGCCCCTTCTTTCCGCCGCTTCTTTCCCCACCCCCTTCCCCAGTAGCCCTCGGCCTCGGGCGGAGCGCGCGCTTTCCCCAGCAAGTCGTGGCCAAGTGAGGGAGGCGGCCGGGGCCTTGTGGAGAAGCGTGTGGTCTACGAGGGCGCCTGTGCACTCGAGCCATCTTTCAGGGCCGGGGCGAGGTGTAAATGAAAGATGATGAGAGATGCAGCCGTTGTTTGCCAGCTCCGGACAGGAGTGAGCTTCAGACACAGCCAGGATTGAGCGAAAGATGCATTCCTGATCTTTCACGGGGCTGGGGGTTGGAGGGGGGTGACGGTGAAACATGTCTAACAAGCTATTTGGTCAAAAAGCAGCAGAGACAAGTTTGGTGCGAGCTAGCCAAAAGCAGCAGAGACAAGTCTGGCGCCAGCTATTTGGTCAAAAGCAGCAGAGACAAGCCTGTCGAGAGCTGTTTTCAAAAAGCAGCAAACCAGTCCCCGGTTCACCTTCCGGGCCGAGGTAGGGCTAGGGGCCCTACAAGACCTCACAGGCCCTCACAAGCCCCCACCAAAAGCACTGTGAGGTGCAACTGGCGACAGTGGTGGGGTGGGCAGGACCTGCTCGGCCCTCTCGAAGTTGGCTTTTTAGAGAATAGCAGCTCAAGAGCGCACGTCCTCAAGTTCAAGCACCTGAACGATGAGGAGAGCATCTTTCACTGCCGACACCCCTGCTCTGAAAGATGAGGAGTGCATCTTTCAATGCGAGGAGGAATGCATCTTTGAATCTACTTGTTGAGTCCTGTCTTCTCTACGAGCTCCTGGCCCATCTTAGCACCCTGCATGCGCGAATCACAGGGAAGTCGAACTTCCCTGAAACTTGCCGAACTATCTACGGCGGATCAAGAACTAGTGAATTTAGTCTAGTTCACGGAGGAGGTATAAGACCACACATGCATCACTACTAGCCACGCTTCCAAAAGCGTAAACAAGAGCATATATGAAATGTCTACGGCGAGTCTACGGCAGAGCGTCACCCGCGAAAACACATACATAGCACACTTGCGAACGCAGATTCCCCGATTCTTGCGAAACGGTCAACCTCCATTGTTCCGACGCAAGCAAATTCCCAAAAGGAGAGGCACCCCTGAGACAACCTCTCACATGTGTTAGCCAATCCCTGGCTGGTTTGGCATCCAACTTGGCCTGATCTAACATCCACACTCGTGGCGATTTCACATATGCGATTCCTTTGTTGCCTCAAAGCATGACGTGCTGGTTGGTCCCGTTGCCAACTTCTGTGGCGTCGCTGTTCACGGAAAAAGGTCACACATCAAAATTACTAGAGGCATCACGTGACCAATCGGGTTTTTCTTGATAGTCATTTGGACGTGTGAACAGGGGCACGCGCAGCTGCGCGGCTGCAGAACCCAGAACTCGCAGGGGTGGTACTTTGCCCACCCCGCTTTGATCAGAGCAGCTCCTGTCCCCATACGCCTGACTTGGGATGTTCCCCCTGAAACGGCAGTCCCTACTTGGACTAGGGTTTATAGGGTTTAGGGTACTGTTAGTATAAGGGGGAACATCGACCATCATCCGGCTATGTCCTCTTCCAGGCCTCAGGCAGGTTGGTTCAAACGCAGAAGTTTTTCCGACTCCTCCACCTTCCCGCGCTCCTGAAGATGGATTTGGGTTCGTTCGTCATTCACAGCTTCCCACGCAGACCTTCGAAACTGCCCAGGCGTCATGACTCAAGCAATCTGAAACATGCCGTAGTTACTATTCTGCTATAATGCTGTACTACTATAAGACTATAAGACTATAATACTCCGGTGCAAGTGTGCGTGCTTCTGTCTCTGAGCCAGTGCTCCTCGGTGAGTGGATCACGGGATCACGAGCTTCAGTTTTTGAGAAGTGGCCAATCTTGCCTAAGTGCTCAGATCCCACCCGAGCCGCCCAGCTTGGATGCACCCCCGGCTTTTCCCTCACTCACTCCCTCACTCCCTCACTCAATCCATTCGGGTAGGGCTTAGGGCATAGGGCTTTTAGGGTTTATAGGGCTTGTAGGGCTTATAGGGCATATAGGGCTTATAGGGCTTATAGGGCTTCTAGGGCTTATAGGGTTTATAGGGCTTATCGGGCTTAGGGTTTAGAGTTTAGGGCTTATAGAGTTTAGGGTTCATTGTGAACTCGACCCGGTCGTCCGAAGCTGAGCTTCCGGGCTTTTCTCCAGAGCCTCTCGGCAGAGCGCCTCGGCTTTGGCCCATCGGCCCCCAAGTCCAGGAGCTCGGCCAAATTCACCTATACTGATCTTGGAACCCTAGCAAAAAATGGTATTTTTAGCTGTTTCTTATAGGAATTAGAGTCATGGTACAAACTCAGCAAGAGCCATGTGCGGAGATGTTTTCGCACAAATAGGCGTCAGGAATTTGATTCTGCACGCTGCCTTGTAAAGTTTCCGGTTGGAACCTTTAGGCGCAAAAACAAAAAGACTGCAATGTATGTCGTTAATCTAATTCACAAATAAAAAACGTGTGTGTGTATATATATATATAATGTATGAACACTAATATATATATATATATATATATATATATATGCGACCCGCCACTCGCGAATAAACAATCGTTGTCGTTTTGACACATGAGGTATCATGCGCCCTCTTCTTAAAGTTAGTCCACGTGGCAAACTGGGCGACAATAGGCATTTCGAAAGAGAGTGATGTTACGCATATTGAGATGCCAGGATGCCAGTGTGCTACATAAACAAGATGATTCACGTTCTCGAAAAGAGCAAAAGACTGTAAACCTGACACCGCAGGCCGGCAGGGCGTCTCTTTCTGTTTCAAAAAGTACTCTGCTGGTCCCTCCATGAAATTGAGTCCATCAGCACATTGCAGCGCAACCTTCACAAATGGAACAAAAACAGTTCCAACGCTCAACTGCTCAACTGCCTGAAAGCTGAGGGGCTCGGCTTCTGCCGGCTGGCCGCGGGCTTCAAGGAGCCCGGTTGTGGATGGAAGTCAACGTGTCCGGGTGCTCTGGACCCAACTTGCCCCGGCCTTGGCAACAGGGGGTATAGACCATCGCTGCCAAGCAAATCCCATCAAGCCGGGGATGGCCCATCCATGTCATGAACACCGTCATACAGTCACAGCGAATTACTTGCTATAACGTTCAACAGCGCAATGCTGACTCTGCAGCGGTCAAATCCATCGCCGGAGGTTCAAAAAACAAGCGCTGGGTCCACTTTTCAACACAAATCAGACTTCCTGCTTAACAGGGCCTTGCCTTCATTTTGGTTACTTTGCTGAATTGCAAGAATAACCTTCATCGGCCCAGAATTCTCCTTCACGGGGCGCGCTGATGTGTGAAATTACCTCGACAGAAGCTGAGCTCCCGGGCGTGCTTCGAAAACTTCTCGGTAAAGAGGCTCAGCTGCTGCCAGTTGGCCGCGGGCTTCGAGTTGTTGATGAAGCCCAACGTGTTCGGATGCTCTCTGCCCAGATTGGCTCGGCCTCAGAAAAAAAGGAGTGTGGTACAGGTCTCAGAAAGAGGAGTTGCTGCATCTTCATTCTGCCTTGAAGAGTGTCAAGCATCACCCCTCACTGTAAACTTTAACCCCGCCCCCCCTCTTGCAATCATTATCCCCTTAACCCCCCCCCCTCATGCAATCATTTCCTGCCTTGAGAGTATGGTTGCTCATACCCCCCTTTTGCAAATTCCAGCGCACTGTTTTCGGTATCGGCTTCGCCCGCTCGCAGTCACAAGCTCCCGCTCGCAGTCATAGCAAACTCCAGGGACTGTTTTCGGTAACGGCTTCGCCCGCTCGCAGTCATAGCAAGTTCCAGGGGACTGTTTTCGGTAACGGCTTCGCCCGCTCGCAGTCGTAGCAAATTCTATCGGCTTCGCCCGCTCGCAGTCATAGCAAATTCCAGGGGCTGTTTTCGGTGACGGCTTCGCCCGCTCGCAGTCATGGCAAGTTCCAGGGCACTGTTTTCGGTGACGGCTTCGCCCGCTCGCAGTCATAGCAAATTCCAGGCACTGTTTTCGGTAGCGGCTTCGCCCGCTCGCAGTCATAGCGGCTTCGCCCGCTCGCAGTCATAGCAAATTCCAGGGACTGTTTTCGGTAACGGCTTCGCCCACTCGCTGTCATAGCAAATTCCAGGGACTGTTTTCGGTAACGGCTTCGCCCGCTCGCAGTGATAGCAAATTCCAGGGATTTTTTCCGGTAGTTGCTTCGCCCGCTCGCAGTCATAGCAAATTCCAGGGACTTTTTCCGGTAACGGCTTCGCCCGCTCGCAGTCATGGCAAATTCCAGGGGCTGTTTTCGGTAACGGCTTCGCCCTCTCGCAATCATAGCAAATTCCAGGGACTGTTTTCGGTAACGGCTTCGCCCGCTCGCAGTCATAGCAAATTCCAGGGACTTTTTCCGGTAGTTGCTTCGCCCGCTCGCAGTCATAGCAAATTCCAGGGACTGTTTTCGGTAACGGCTTCGCCCGCTCGCAGTCATAGCAAATTCCAGGGACTGTTTTCGGTAACGGCTTCGCCCGCTTGCAGTCATAACAAATTCCAGGGACTGTTTTCGGTAACGGCTTCGCGCGGGGACTGTTTTCGGTAACGGCTTCGCCCGCTGGCAGTCGTAGCAAATTCCAGGGACTGTTTTCGGTAACGGCCTCGCCCGCTCGCCGTCATAGCCAATTCCAGAGGCTGTTTTCGGTAACGGCTTCGCCCGCTCGCAGTGTCATAGCAAGTTCCAGGGACTGTTTTCGGTAACGGCTTCGCCCGCTCGCAGTCACAGCAAATTCCATGGTTTTCGGTAACGGCTTCGCCCGCTCGCAGTCATAGCAAATTCCAGGGACTGTTTTCGGTAACAGCTTCGCCCGCTCGCAATCACGGCAAGTTCCAGGAGACTGTTTTCGGCAACGGCTTCGCCCGCTTGCAGTCGTAGCCAATTCCAGGGACTGTTTACGGTAACGGCTTCGCCTGCTCGCTCGCAGTCATAGCAAATTCCAGGGACTGTTTTCGGTAACGGCTTCGCCCGCTCGCAGTCATAGCCAATTCCAGGGACTGTTTACGGTAACGGCTTCGCCGCTCGCAGTCATGGCAAATTTCCGGGACTGTTTTCGGCAACGGCTTTGCCGTCGCCCGCTCGCAGTCGTAGCAAATTCCAGGGACTGGTTTCGGTAACGGCTTCGCCCGCTCGCAGTCATAGCAAATTCCAGGGACTGTTTTCGGTAACGGCTTCGCCTGCTCGCAGTCATAGCAAATTCCAGGGACTGTTTTCCGGTAACGGCTTCGCCCGCTCGCAGTCATAACAAATTACAGGGGACTGTTTTCGGTAACGGCTTCGCCCACTCGCAGTCATAGCCAATTCCAGGGACTGTTTACGGTAACGGCTTCGCCCCCTCGCAGTCATATTTGCAATCATTAACCCCCCATTACCCCCCTTGCAATCTTTTTAAGGTAGCGGTGATTTTCAAGCTGGGGTCCTCTGGATGTTACTCAAAGACAACACAAGAGGCCATGTCTTCCGTCATTATATCTGCTACAAGTGCCGCCCGCTCGGAGAGCAAACGACCATCGTGGCATGACACCTTCGGTATCATGCGACCTCTTGTTCAGGCATTACGTGGCAAACCCTTGGGTTGACAACACATACTGCACCGGGCCCTCCATGAGATCGCAGCAGGAAAAGAAACAAATTTCACAATTCTGAAAAGGACTAGATGTGTTCAATTCCGACGCCCGACAGAAGCTGAGCTCCCGGGCTTTTCTCCAGAGCCTCTCGGTAGAGAGGCTCGGCTTCAGCTCGCCGCGAGTCTTCAGGAGCGCGGCCAAGTTGCTGACGGAAACCAATGTGTTCGGATGCTCTTCGCCCAGCTTGGCCCGGCCTTGGCATGGTGCAACATCGACACCATGGCACAAACCCAGCCACAAGCAGCTTCCAACAATCGCGCCATGGCAAAACTTACGTACAAATTCTTCACGAGCTGTTGAAGCTGAAGCTCGAGATGCGGAAGCTGCAGGCTCAGCTACTGGACCCTCTGATCGCCCACTACTTGGAGGTTCATGGGTACTTCTAACCCCACTTATAACTGTACTTATAAGCCCCCCAAGTCCTCTGAGTAGGTTACAAGTAGACTCATAATTGGGGTTCTAGGTACCCATGAACCTCCAAGTATGTCACGATGTCACGATGCTGTGGGAAGTTGAGGCCCGGGCGAATTCGCAGGCATTCTCTGCTCAGCTCTTCGGCTTCTCCATACCTGGCACGGCCTTGCAGCCTCCGCGCCAGTTCGTACATGCAGCCGCCAGTAGCCGCATCGTCTCCAAGGCTAGCCCGGAGCTTCCGTAGCCGAAGCTGAAGAAGGTCCATCACAGAATCCGCGTCAGCCGCCGCATGCTGCAGGTTTTGCGATACTTGAGGACATCTTCGAAATCACAACCAGGAGCCGATGTCGCGAAGCCCTGAACATCTCTAAACGCCTGGCCAGAAGATCATGAGGCTGCTTGTCCTTGGTTGGCTCCGTGCTCCCATCACCGCAGTCCTAGCGGTGAAGAGGCTTTGCAATTGCGAGGGCCATGCCTAAATGAGTCGCGCAAGCAGCCTGGTTGCAAGATTCTGCCTGTCGAGGAGCGCTGCCCGCCTGACAGCCGTGTCACACATCCATCCCAAAATCTCAAAAAGGGCCTGCGTCCGTACCTGCTGCCTTTGCAATTTGATTTCGACATGCACGCTCGCACCCCGGCAGGCAAAACAAATGGGTCAATGTTTGAAGAAAACGAACCGAATGCAAGGGTTTGGCGCGCTCTTTGATGCACATTCTTTCCTTTATAGCCCGCAGATCTGAGCTTCCCATGCACAGAGCTGCTCAAAAACCATCTGTTCATCTGCTGTAACCCTAAACCCTAAACCCGAAACCCTAAACCCGAAACCCTAAACCCTAAACCCTAAACCCTAACCCTAAACCCTAAACCCCAAAACGCGCCAGCCTTAGCCAAGATGTGAACAGATTCCACCCGATATTCAGGAGGGCCTGCTTGACTGACCTCTTTTGTAATCTTGTTGATAACAGAACCTGCCAAAACAAACCCTGTAGACGGTGGTCAAGACGTCCAAACCCTTGTGCAAGTAACTGGGTTTATTGAAGCTGCAATGACACCACCCTGTGCGCATCGGAGCTTGAAGCTTCAAAGAGACACTCCATTATGTGTTGTACTGACATTTGGAGTTCTCAAAACAGCCACTGGCAAAAGTTAACGTTGTGATGGCACTGGCAGCCCTGCCACTGCCTCGCTGCATGACGGCCGTTCCACGTCGCTGCGGCGGCACACTACTTCATTGCGCAGAAACGTGAACTGCACCTGCGGCTGTGAGAGCTCGACATCTTGTCGCACAAAGCAAGCAACTTTGTTTGTGCCACTGCCATATACTAGAGAATGGCTGCACTATAGCTTCGTAGATGTGGTCCCAAGTTTGGGGTTTGGCGTGTGCCATGGTTCCAAAAGCACTCGTGTACAAGCTGCAGACTCCGTGATGGCAGGATACCTGCTGAAACAAGTTGGTCATCGCTTAGCCGATGGTTGAGAGAGTTCCCCAGCTAGCAAAGCTGGGTGTGAGTCGGCAACACCCTGCCTGCCACAGCTGCCATCACAGCTTTCTCGTTCCAGTGTTCAAGACAGCGACAGGGCATGCTACTGAATTCTCACCGCCTTGTCGCAGCAGCACGCTGCCGCATGGTAGGGCGACGATGCTGCCAGGCCATCAGCCATGCGGCTCTGAGCTTCATCCTATATATGGCGAGCATGAGTCTGCACTATCCTGCATGCGACCAGAAGAGTTGAAGAGCTTACGCATGCCCTTCCTTGCAACTTAACAATATGCAAGCACTTGTGACATGTTGCTGCTAAGGCGCACCCAATTCCGGCGGCCAAGCCATGCAAACGTGCGCAAAGTTGAGAATACGGGTGCGCAGGCTGTGCTTCAAGGAAAGGCATTAACGACAAGAGCGCAAAACTCAGAGCCTGGATCCTGCCAAGATGCCCACTTTGGCCAAGGGGCCCATAGCCAGGATGCCCATCTTTGACCCCATCCTGAACCCTGGATCCGGCCAAGATCCATTTGAACCCTCGATTGGCCCTGGAACGCTGGATCCGGGCAAGATGCCCATCCTGACGCCAATTTGAACCCCCATAAACCCTAAACCCTGCAAGCCCTAAAATCCCTACACCCTACACTCCGGAGCTCCCCAAACAGCCAAAAGCACTAGAAGCGGACGAGGCCGTGTGACAGCCAAAAACAGTGAAGCGGACGAGGCCGTGACAGCCAAACAACAGTATAGAAGCGGACGAGAACATGACGGCCAAAAACAGTAGAAGCGGACGAGACCGTGACAACCAAAAAAAAAGTAGAAGCGGACGAGACCGTGACAGCCAAAAACAGCCAAAAACGGTAGAAGCGGACGAGACCGTGACAGCCAAAAACAGCCAAAAACGGTAGAAGCGGACGAGACCGTGACAGCCAAAAACAGCCAAAAACGGTAGAAGCGGAGGAGACCGTGACAGCCAAAAACAGCCAAAAACGGTAGAAGCGGACGAGACCGTGACAGCCAAAAACAGCCAAAAACGGTAGAAGCGGAGGAGACCGTGACAGCCAAAAACAGTATAGAAGCGGAGGAGACCGTGACAGCCAAAAACAGTATAGAAGCGGAGGAGACCGTGACAGCCAAAAACGGTAGAAGCGGACGAGACCGTGACAGCCAAAAACAGTATAGAAGCGGAGGAGACCGTGACAGCCAAAAACAGTATAGAAGCGGAGGAGACCGTGACAGCCAAAAACAGTATAGAAGCGGACGAGACCGTGACAGCCCAAGGACAGTAGAAGCGGACGAGGCCCCATATCTTGAAATCTGGATCCACGCCAAGATGCTTGTTTAAGCCAACATCTTGAACCCTGGTGCCCTCAGCTTGCTTCCATGCGACTGTGGCAACTAGAACAGGGTTTTGGGGGCTGTTCTAGTACAAGTATAAAGGAACCATAATGGATACTATTTTGACTCAGCCTAGTCGAGGCAAGAGTGAAATCGGTGGGGCAGGCCAAGGGCGAGACAGCAAGCCATCAATACAGCCCAGCAGCTCAGCAGATCTGCACCCCCTACCCACCCCAAACCGCCTCCCTATAACATAAGAAAGCTGCGTCTTCATAGCCTTTTCTCTATACGTGGCGGGCACCTTTTTTTCTATACGTGGCGGGCAGTAAGGCCCGAAAGTCACCTTGCAGAAGAGGGACTGTCCTCTTTGAGGACTCCTCCGAATTCCAGTGGGACTTCGTTGAGGGTTGGTGGGGGGGGGGGGTTTAGGGTTTAGGGTTTATAGGGCTTATAGGGTTTATAGGGTTGATAGGGTTTATAGGGTTTATAGGGTTTAGGGTTTAGGAATGTTTAGGACGTGGGGAACTCTCAACCGACGCTTCGGCCCCGCTGGGCTGCAAGGAGCCGGAGAAACATAAAGAAGAACCGCTGAGAAACCTGCAACTCTCCAGAGCTGCACTCGATCAAAAGGTCATCTAGGCATCTCGGAGTCAGACTATTTCTTCGCCTTCCTTGGTGGCCTTGCAAGGACGATGGATGTGCCTGCCAGACTCAAGGCAACTGCACACCACCTGGGAACATTGTAGGTGCTGGCTCGAAAGCTCTCGTCGCAGTCCATGTTGCCGCAGAGCATGGAGAACCTGCGCTGCGCGTGCATGTCACCGTGCCCTGTGGCACTACTCCTACCTCAGATGCCTTTGCTTTGCCAAAAAAAGGTTGCAGCATGTGAAAACCCTAAACCCTAAACCCTTGTACACCCTCGTACACCCTTGTACACCCTTGTAAACCCTTGTACACCCTTGTAAGCCCTTGTAAACCCTTGTAAACCCTTGTAAACCCTTGTAAGCCCTTGTAAACCATTGTAAACCCTAAACCCTAAACCCTTAAATAACCCCGCAGGAACATGTTCACCGAAGTGATCGGCCACTTGGGGTCGTCGAAGTGGCGTATCAGGGCGACGGCGATCCAAGCGAAGAGGGCACATGAGCAGAGCAGCGACAGCGCTGTCAGTGTGTCCTGCAGGCAGGCCTACTATAAGCAAAAACCCTAAACTCCAAACCCTACAGTAATTTCCCAAAACCCCCCCAAACCTTATAATGCCCTAAACCCCAAATACCCCCCCAATACCCCCCCAAAACCCAAACCCTACACCTCCGGACCCCCGAAGCCCGGAAGGCACACACGATGTGCCCACCTGCGAGCATGCGGGAGTACCTGGCTGAGTCGCCTTAACGTCCCATGGCTTCTCGGTCGAAGCTGACCAGCAAAACCACTTGCCGAACACGTCCGCAACGAGCCTCATGTTACTTTTTGAGGGGGGGTTTTGCTGGGCTTGAAGTACCAAGGTATTTGGGGCTTCAAGCAACGAGGCCAGTCCACAAGCACAGGTGCTCCTGCAGCGCTACTCGAAACGAATTGTTGTCTTCGGCGTGCCGAAACAGGCTTCACTACGCAACCTTCTGCTATCATCCTCGGGGGTCCCCACTCATCCAGTGGTGGTGTGATAGTGTTCTACTGTTTCTAGCAATAGCACCAATCGAACCACTTGGCCTCCGCGAGGGTTCGGCTGCTTGAACTGCAAGCAGCAATCCGCCTGTGTAGGTGGATCACCTTTTATGCAGTAGCACGATCTGCGAGGTGCTACAGTGTACAAGACTGCAGTCCTTTTACTTTACTAGACCATACTATACCCTACTCTAGCATACTATATCATACTAGGTCATACTATACCCTGCTATATCATACTATGTCACAACAAATTTACGACACGAAACTATACTATACTTCACTGTACTAGACTATGCTACATCAAACAGCTGTTTGTGAAATGCGCTTGTGGGATTGAGATATTCTGCAGCGATACAAACATCACCAATAAAAAGAACACATCGTTGCTGAAGGCCAGTTCTGGTTGCACGTCTTGCATTCCTTAGGCACACAGGCGCTGATCGACTCGAGCACTGCGTGTCTGGGACAGCTCCCGTCATCTCCACTACATATGGGTTTCCGGAAACAGCTACCTTATTGGGGTCCTTACTACAAGGGAATACTATTTGTCTCTCCTTTGGGTCAGGCCCATCCCCCTGAGCAGATCCCATTCCTTACTGTTGGTCCGCAGGGAATGAGGGAATTAGGGCTCTGTATATACTCTTTAAAGGATTCTACAGGGTACCTCATTCCCCTATTCCCTGCTAGCCAACAGTAAGATTCACATGCTGTGGTTCAATGGTAGCATTTCAGCATCTGCCAACATACGGAACTTTGTCCGCAAACCAGCATGGGAGTGCAGACATTTCTGGGAGCCCAAGAACAAGAAGACCCAATCCCCCAACAGCATGCCACTCCCCCCCAGTGTGCCATTTTCGCATCTGTCAGGGTTTAGGGCTTCGACTCTCGCACTCGCTCAAGCAGTCAAGGGTTCTGTGTAGGGTTTAGGGGTTAGGGAGACCGTACGGGTCAAGTGAAACACCAGATCGGCACCCCGCAAAACCGCCCCACATTTTTGCTTCTTCCTTCTCTCACATGCGCATTCCCCCCCCCCCCCCCCAGGCCCCCCAAGCCCCCACACATACATACATACATACATACATACATACATACATACATACATACATACATACATACATACATACATACATACATACATACATACATACATACATACATACATACATACATACATACATACATACATACATACACACACACACACATACATACATACCCCCACCCCAAGGGTGTTGCATCGTGGTTCTCGCATCTTTCGCGCACCCATCAGCTTTCAGGCTTGAGTGCTCAGGGTATACACTCCCTACATGGCACTGTGTAGCGCTGTTCGGAAACTGGGATGTCAATAACAGTGCCATAAATAAATGCCACACGGAGCTAGACTCCAGGACAGAATAAGTTTCCCTGTAATCCCTGCACTGCTCCATCTAAATCTCAGAAAGCCCCCCCCGTCCTCATTTCATACTCCTGTGCCAAGGCGCGCCACTCTCAATGAACCCCCGGGCTTTGCAAATCTCTGTCACCTTGTTGATCGTGCCGTCCTCCAGGGCACCATATACATGACATGCGCTGCCTTTTCTGCCAGTGGTTGACGCCATTATACGTCCAAACAAGGAAAAGCACGAGCCCACTGTACTTTACTGGGCTCATTCAAGCGTCTGAGTTGCCAGAAAGTGCATGAGGGGCACGCCCCGATGGCAAGGGTCGGAAAGCCTAGCTTGCGGATGCGGGGCACAGCGGCGCGTAAAAGAAAGCAGCGACCAGGAACAGCTGAGACGAAGAGGGTATCCGCATCTGATTTCAGGGCGCTTCTGTGATTCTAACTCCCTGTGCCTGCAGTATCTCCTGCCTGGTGTGGCCCTACTCCTTGCCTTCAGAGCCTTGAACCACTGAGTCGCAAGGTAACCCTCCAGTGCGCAGCTTACTGTAGGAAAAACTCAGCCTTAGTATGGTTGTACATACTCCTACAGAAATAAGCACAGCTACGGTTCGCTATGGTTGCACAGAAAAGGTACACAAAAGCATGGTTATGCAGCGCAAAGCTGCCTTACAGTATGGTTGAGCTGTATGCCGTAAGCAAGCTTATAGTATCATGTGCTGCACATGTTGACAACCTTTCCGTCCTTGGTTTCTGCGTCGAACGAGGCGATGATGCCGGTCACACCGACAACGTTGACTCTCGTCGCCTCCCATTCTGTTGAGAATTCCAGGTTCAGGCCGTAGAACTACTTAAGCCGTAGTGCTAGACCTTAGACTCTCCGTATCCTCGTACTTGTTCCAGGGTAGCAGTCGACCCTATCCTGATGCACGTGATGACCCGTCTGTTGCAGCCACACTTTACCCCAAACCCTATACACCCTAAACCTCAAACCCTAAACCCTGAACCTCAAACCCTACACCCCAAACCCCAAACCCTAAACCTCTTGGGCACAAAGAATTGTAAGTAAACATGTATATGTATATATATATATAGATATAAATTGGTACAGATTCATCAGCTATAGTACAGTACGTATAGAATAGTCTGGTATCGTACAGTATGGAAGAGTTACATATAAATACATATATAAATAAATAAATAAACAAACATATCTAAACAAAAAACTCTGCAAATACTATGCACCACTCCGAGGCCCGCACTTTGGGTGGAGGAGGAGGAGTTAAGACGGGAGCTTCCTGCAGCGCAGGAAGCAGTGACTTCGAGCAACACTCCAGAGCTGGGAGGATTTTCGTGTCCCAAAGGTGCCATCCGGTGCTTGTCAGGACTCATATCCGGAATCAAGGGTTAGGGTTTAGGGCTTAGGATTTAGGCACCTTTTGGGGTTTAGGGGGTCCGCAAACGACCCTGTCCTGGTAGTCGACGATTCACAGAAACAGTGTTTTGCCATGTCACGAATGCCGTCACATTTACAGTGTCTCCTGTGGTTGGATGCCGGTTCGCAAGAAGAACGTTAGAAAATGGACGTCATCTATAAATAAAATATATGTATGTGGGCATTGCTAGAGTTAAACGTATGAGGTTGGGAGGATGCCAGAATTGATTTGTCAGGGCTGCAATAGCAGTCAGTACCCGCATGCGTTTGGGAAGGACATCGTCAAACCTTTGTACGAAAACAAGGATGCTGTACCTGCCAGCGAAGTCGAAACGGCTGGAAATTTGATGAATATGGGTACCCCTGTCCTTCCCCCCTCATGGGACAGCTCTACTGCGAGCACTTATGAGACGAGAAGGAGAAGCAGACACTTTCTTCGGGATGGTTTCCTCCCTGCTACTACTGCTTCCAGCCCGACCAGCTCTACTAGTTGCTAGTTCTACTCCTACCATTCCTACTACGACTAGTATATACACCCTTAACCCTAAACCCTAAACCCTAAAAACTACAGACTTCAACTACTAGGTGCTTCTTGGGCGCGGTCGTCGTCGTTGGTGCCTCCGTGGCTGTAGCCATCAAGGCCAAAGGCCTCAAATATACGGTGAAGTGTCGAGAGTATACATGTGCCGGATGATCTGATTTCTCTTCCAAGACCTTTGAGCGGCTTGTCTGCGCAAAGTGGGATCCCAGTCGGTATCTCGGCATTTTCGTTCCGACTGCCCTGACTTGATACAGCTTGCGCAAGCCGAGGAATCTCGCAAAAGCACGCCCACCAACTCTGTACAAAGGAGCCTATGGGGCACCCCCGCTAGATGCAAAGGTCCACACAAAGTTCCCCCGATTGTTTTGCGAAACATGGTTTTTAGCCAACCTGCGCAGAATCCCTGTAGAAAGTCCTGGGTTCTTGTTTGGGAGACACACGGGTAGATACATTTCATTTAAAGGTTCTTCTCGACCATCTGGCATGGTGTAGAAACAGTCTGGTACAGTATATGTTATGCCCGACTCGAGAACCAAAAAGATACTACCGATGCCCACCCCCACCGTGCGAGACTGATAGGACTGTCCAGCACCCTAAACCCTAAACCGGCTGCGGTTGGGGTATTTCTTGTTTGCTGGAACACACACTGCTGAGTAGGAATCTAGAAGCAGGGCAAGCTTAGGCGTAGTGACTGTTTGCAAAGCAAGCTGTCCTGTTGGATGCTGCTTGCTTATCTCTTGTTCTGTTGGTGACAAGGCATGTAAGGGTGCGCCAGCCATGCGGGGGACAAAACAACCCTACACCCCCAAACCCTGAACCCTTAAACCCCTACGATCCTGCGTTTAAGGTCACAGGCTGCCAAGATCCAGTTCAGCCCGAAAGTTGAGAGTAGTGGCCTAAAAATGTACCACAGCATAATCCTGCCAAGATGTGGCGATTCTTCGTGAAGAACACATTAGCTTCCGCGACAAGTGTGTAGGAATCACCACAAGAACTATACCGAGCATCGAATGGGTGTGAATCTATTTCAAAACGGCATCACGAATCATGAAGGATTGATCACCTTGCCTAGAGCCCAAACCCATCAGAAACAGGCTGCAGTAGTGGCTAATGCTTCAAGGTTGCGCATCTGATGGCTTGTACCTTAGTGTTTTTTGCTGAAGAGGCGTTGTACCAGAATGGGGAATTAAGGGGTAGCAGGAGTACCTAAGTAGCCCCTAAATAACACCTACTTAAGGTCCCTGATAAGGGTCCCTCCTTTAGTCCCTTGAGGGAATTAATGAAGGACATAGCAGGGCCGACTTCCCAATTCTGACACTTGTGATCGAATAGCAACGAACATCGCAATGCATCTAAGCAAGCAAGCTTCTCTGGGGGTTTCCGAAAATGGGGGTACCTTCTTGGGTCCTTATGATAAGGGAATCCTGCTTTTTGGGGTCGGTTTTTTGGGGTCCCTTATTTTCGTCGTAAACTCCCATCTGGAAACAACTGGAAACCAAGCATTTACTGCCTTGCTTGGCATTGGGATTATACTGTTGACAGCAAACATCAGCAAACAACCATTCCTCCCTCAGGTGGGGGCATCGACTGCTGCAGCATCGAGATGTCATCGCAAACTTCACGCCTGGTGAGTGCGCGTCTTCAGCTGGAGTGCTGTACAGCCGTGATACTCAGTCTTTGCGCTTGGCCGCAGACGCTTGTTTACACACGAGCTGTGCAATGCGGCAAGGGCTTGAGCATGTACACGAACATACTAAAAAACACTAGAGATGAAATAAAGTTGATATACCACGCGCAGGGTGTACCAAAGGCACCGTTTAGTATACGAGGCGCTATGGGAAAGTTCTACATTGCAGCGCAGGGATGCAGCCATGACTTGGAGATGCCATGCGTGAAACATGAGAAAGTATTGCACTTGGGATATGCCCTCTTGTACTAACAGTCCTTTCTAGGGATTATACTCCCCAACAAAAAATCCTATCAAAAAGTTAGTAGAAAGGGGAAAATCTTAATATGTTGCACCGCAGAGATGTCGAGGATGCTGGAGAAGTATATTGGGAGTGCACACCATTAGTAAACCCAACGCGGATTACACCCATCGGGACTCGCACCACGCATGTCCATTTTGGTTCAGAGAGATCTGCCGAAGATGAACAAATGGGCTTCAGGCCCCTACAGGAATGACCCTAAACCCTACACCCTAAACCCCAAAACCCTAACCCCCCCCCCCCCCCCCCCCCCAAAAAAAAAAAAAAATGAAATAAACAAAGGGACCCCCGACTTCGGAGAAAATCCCCCAATTTTCTATGATAGCTTGAGCCCAGCACGCTATGGCATGGGAGACAGCCAGGCTGAGCAGCAATCGCACGAAGACCTGAAGGTTTAGGGTTTAGGGTTTAGGGTTTAGGGTTTAGGGTTTAGGGTTTAGGGTTTAGGGTTTAGGGTTTAGGGTTTAGGGTTTAGGGTTTAGGGTGTATTGTAGGGTTTATGAGGTTTAGGGTTTAGGGTTCTTCGGGCTTGGGCTTTAGGATGTTTGTGCCAGGTGGCTTGACTAGCCATGTCCGAGAACAAACACGTGTTTTCTATGGCTTGGACCAAGCAGATTCAAGATCCCAAAGCAGGAAACAGAAGAAATTTGCGAAGAAGATGCTTGTCTAAACAATCAGTCAACTCCGGCAAGTGTGAAGATTCGGCATCTACTGTACGCTGCACATAGCAGAACTTCGCGTCCTAGACATACTCCGTATAGGGGTTGACATCACAGCCTTCCCTGAGACCAACAATAGTGCCATTTGCACACCTTGAACCTGGGCAAGCTCCAAACTGACATGCTGGGCATAATGAAACAAACAAAAACACTCCTAAACCCTAAGCCCCAAACCCTAAACTTACCCTTTAAAAAAATCGTGTGCGGGCCTGCGTCGAGTGGACCAGGCCATGCTTCCATGGCCTGACGTCAGGTTGACATAGACATGGAGATTCCTTCAAGGTGGACACCCGCAAGACCTTCCCCGGGTTCTTAGTAGGGAATGAGGCAATGAGGGCCCTATATATACCCTGCAAGGGATTGAACAGGGCCCTAATTCCCTCATCTGCTGGAAGCTGGGAACTCCCGATCTTCGGACAACTTCCGCCAAAGGCAGAAAGTCAGACCCAAAGCCCAAAAGGCGGCAGGCGGAACCACCCAGCAAAGCACTCCACTGACTGTGCCCAGCAGCAAAGCCATGGAGGCTTCGAAGATCGGGGCCGAAGGTTTTCGCTACGATCTTAAAACGCTGCAGCAAAGTCGGGAGGCTGTCGTTGCAATGGGTATGTCTTTCGATTCTCACCCTTTTTCTGAGAGTCCTGAAGAGGGATTCTACCTGGGGGGGGGCTATTATTCCTTTTTAAGGACTCTTAGTATAAGGGTGAACATCCCAAGGTATGTCTGGTAGGTGCCAAGGACCGACCCGAACATGTTCTGGTAGTGTGTTCTTCTGTTGTTGAGGTAGCAAAAAGCAAACAAGCCCAATCATCTGCTCCGCCGCGGTCCAGCAGTTCAAAAACAGATCCACTTAAAGTATTCTTCGAATAGATAGTTAAGAATTGAAGAATTCTCCGAATAGATAATGGTTAAGAATTGAAGAAGTCGTAGCCCCGCATTCGAGCTAGAGCCTCGCCAGAAAACGGAGCACAGGCAGGGACCGGTGCTGGGGGGACCTACGCACATGTACCGCTCCAGATTCACCTGCGGGGAACCTGCGAGGGGCTGGAGTGAAAAACAAAGCCGACCTTGCCAGCCTCCCTCGAGTTGTGGGCAAGAGGGTCACCTTGTCAAAGCACCTGTTTTCGCGGGGCCTGCGCAAATGGACCGCTCCACACGTGCGCATGGCGACCTTGTCAGGGCCCTGTCTCCCACCAGAGGACTGGCGCAAAATGGATCTATCCATCCTCACCCATTCAGGGGACCTATGCGGCACCTGCAGTAATCAATGATCGTTTCAGGGACCTGTGTAAGGGGGACCTCTGCAAAGATGTGTCTCAATTGGGAAAACTCACATGTCCAACAGAGATACAGTTTTCTGGACATTTGTAGGGGATGCAGTCCATCAGCACCTTGCAACTGTTTTCACTGCGCGCTCGATCAAAGCTACGAGTGAAGCTGCGCTCGAGCGTGCTGCTGCTCTGCAGTCCCAAGGCTGCGTCGGGCCTCTGAGAGGCTGGGGAGGCGACTGTTCCCGGAGTGTCAATTATCTCCCATTCGGCGCACCGCGCGTCTTGCGCACATGCGATATAAGCAAAAGAATGTCGAGCAGGTGCACGTGTTTCACGCGCCCCTGCCAAAGCCTGCCAGATAATACTTTTCTAAGGTTAATTGTGCCTGTTTCGGTCTGCCACGATTCTGTGCGTCTTTGGCAATGCAGGTGGTCGACCAGCCCTTTCGCTTGGCGAAAGCTACAACAGACTGGGTTGCCGCTAAAGTTCGGATGCGTGTCTTTAGAGGCGTCCTTGTCTTTCTGCAGGCCCTCCGGCTTCATATCCTATGAGAAGTACATCTCTAGCTGGACGTCGCTCGCCCCATATTTCCTGCGTCGCTGCTGGGACCCACCTACAGTCATCGCCTACGGATGAAAGGCCTCAATAAACGAAGGCTACAGCATACTATCACATTTCTACGGTATACAAACAGCTTCTGTATCGTGGACCGGAGTAAAAACACTGTGATGGGTTCCAAGAGCTTTCAGGGGCGCGGTCAAGGGCTTGACAGCTTCACCTGCGCACGTCAGTTCCAAGTGCACCGAAGTCTGCACGACGTGGTCATTGGCGACAGATGTGTACACTATCGATGAGCAACATGCTGCAACACACACCACCGACTTTCCCCAGTGGCCCGGCATCGCACAGGCACTCGTCAGCGCCGAAGACCTCGCAGCTGGCAGTCAGGCTCAAAGGCCAACAAGAAGTTTGCCCAATACAAAAAGGGGTCTCCAATTGCAGTTGGGGCTGCATCCGGGGCTACATCATCTGCATCTCCCGCCATCTCCCGTAGAGCCATCAAGCGCGTCCAGCCGCCGAGGGCCACGTTGCCAGTGCTTGCCTGGAGCATGCGGACAAGGGAGTAACGGAGCCGCACGCGCCACACAAAAAAAACAACATGAATCTCAGCATCTGGATTCTGGTCTTGATACCCGTTGCTACAATGTCGGTCTGCGAGACCTCGCAAAGTGGGCGAGACTAAGAATTTTCACGAGATTCGCTCAACCGACAAACTACACAAGCTGATTGGAGAACAGGTTCATTGTGCAGTTCTACAAACATGTCAGACAAGCTTAGGTCCTCGGAGTTGGCTGCAAAGCCCTTTTCCCCACAAGGCACAGCACAGAAGAGCCTTCTGACCGGTGGTCTGCACGTTATTCTCTTCGGAGCTGGCCTCCAGCTCGGTGTCATTAGGTTTCCGGGCTTAACAGGATTAGGCCCTGTAGGGCTTTGATACGTTTTATAGGCGCTATAGGGGTTTCGGGTCTGCGCTGATATAGGGCTGGTGTCGTTGCGTAGAAGGAAGGCTGCATATATCGCATCCTTCAACAGGCATTTCATCTGGCGGTTGAGAGTGGCAAGACTCTGCCAAGTTAAATGTGTCGAATCCCAGGACTGACTGCGGTCATCGTCAGATGCAGCCTCAAGCGGCTTTTGTGATGCTTGAAGCAACAGTGGCAATAGGCCGCTCAAGAAGTTTGGACTCCGCTGCCTACAAGTACTTACTCCGTGCATTTGTCACTCAAAACAGGGATCGTGCGATCCCGGCAGGCTCAGAATGTAGCATGATGTCTTATCTTGGTGAATGGTTGTAGTTCTGTTGCAGTAGCGTGGTCGTTGTACAGAGCACGGCCCCGTCCTCTGCTTTCCCTCCGCCCTGCTTCTGCAGCTGCTCAAACTCGGCCTTAAGCGTGGCGAGCTCCTTCAAGGCGGCTTGGAAGGAGGAGTCTTGGTAGTTAAACAACAACTCTTACTCTCCCTCTCCCTCTGACAGTGACGATTATGCGTTGGCAAAACTATTCTCATATTTATCTATTCTTGTTCTCAGAACCTATGTTGAAAACATTTAAATGCCTGACTATCCTATGACTATGACTAGAACTGTCGCCGTGTTACGGCACCCCTCAAGCAAGAGGCCTTCCGTGCTTTTCACTGCAGCCGATCTCTTTGCGTCTGCTCCACTTTTCAACACAAAGATGCAAGCATGTCACCCCATATGATTTGCGAGAACCTGAGTCAACAAAGCCAGACATCAACCACTTTGCCTGAAATTCCCTCCATGCTGAAAATGTCGGTGGGAGAGGACGCAGGTACATCGCCAGCAAGTCACCCAAACCTGTCCTCTGAAAGCCTGTTCACTTCCTGCAGCGGCGGGATGCACACCAAAAGCATTCACAGCAAAGTGTGTCGACGGAGCATGTTCGGCCACACTTGCATGGCAAAGCTCTCTGGAGGAACCAGCATGCGACAAGTATTCACACACACGATCCCACTTTTGGGGTCCTCTTTCAGCGTGGTCTGTGCCTGGGTTCAAGCATCCCGCACTGACAGGGTTGAGCAGTGTTCACCAAAACCAACCCATGCAACATGCAGGTGGTCGGCATGTAGATAACGGCCATATAGAGTGCGACGCCATTCATTTCCGGCGCTGTGGTTTGCAACGTTCCCCATCAGCTCCACAGGCCGATAACCGGAACCCCTAAACCTATCCCTGGCAACATTTAGAAACCTCCCTGAAGGCCTGGGGCTCTTGAAAGCTACGAGCCGAAGGACGGGATCCAGGGTCGCTGAGCACTCCGCCATCGGTTTGGCCTCCGCCTGGCAGGGGTGAGTGTGTTCGGGGGCATAAAATCCCAAGCTGCTTGCCTGTTGGTGCTTTTTATACAAGGTTCTAAGGAGGGGTCGGCGGCAAGTGTGCACCGCGTGCCTTGCGCAGGGCGCTGCTCACAGGCCCGGCCAAGGTGCCAGGGCCCTCCAGAGCTGAAAGCTTCAGCGCCGCCTCCGAGAAGAAAAGCAAAATGAAAAGGGGTGAGCAGTGGGGAGGGACGGCTTCAGGGGAGAGGGGCCTCGGCGCGGCGCTCCGCCGCCTTCTGGATTATGGCCTCCTCGTCGAGCTCCAGGGACCTCCGCCAAGCTCCAGGGAAATGCCCACTCAGAGAAAATATGCGCTTCGATGTTTCGCATGCAAACTTTTCACATTGACATCGAAATTCAGCTGAAGAACCCCTTGCGCAAACGACACAAATCCTGCGTCGTGTTCTCAACTTTGAAGCAACTCGGAAAATTGAGTGGGCGTGAGAGAAGGGGGGGGGGGACACCATCTTCAAACGAGACTTCCTCTACTTGCCCCCTGGCCTGGACTCCAGCAGCCGCACGGCTTCTTCGAAGCCAGGGAAGGGAACCGCCCAAGCCTTTCTGGTTGAAGCAAGCATCCCAGGATGGGCTATTCGACCCGATAACCTCTTTAAAAGGCCCTTTATGGGGTTGATTATTGATTAGATGGGGATTATGAGGCCTGATATCCCATCCAGGTCGGGCATCACAAGCACGACTTCGCACAGCATGGAGCCTCCAGAAACTCCTCCGACTCTTCTGCGGAGCAGAGCTGGACCTCACACATCTGCGACGAAGAGTGCGGGCAGGAACCAGAAGCACTAGAGGAGCTATAACTGATGTCCCTCCAAGTCTTTCCCAACCGACCAGGCTTTTCAGGACCTGTAAGCCTTCAAGCCGGGCTATACAGTACTGGGAGCAAAAGTATACCAACAGTCGCCCAGCCTCATCGACCTCGCCTTTCCAGCCCCATCGCGCCGGAAAATTGATCCACACGTTGAACCCTTTCACTTCCTTGCACTGGGGCGGCTTGGGGTTGCGGAGTGATGCGCCTCCCCGACTCGCCAAAGCAGCGGAGGCAATCGTGACAGGAGTCTTGTTCACGCAAAAATAAATAAAGGATACTGGAGAGATAATCATGAAATATGTGAAATCTGCGGTCTCACTCGGATGAAGCTTTGCTTCAAGGATTCGAACCATTCTGCCGTGTCCCACGCAGACTTCCCAGCTGAACAGCAAACAGCAGGAAGCGCTGTGTGCTTGCTGCACCACATTGATATCCCACTGCTTTCTATAGATTCTAAAAGTCAACCAATTTCTGAAGCTCACCGAGACATGCCCAGCAAGCGTGCGCATCACATTGCGAAAGGCAACCCTTCTGACAACTGAAGACTCAATTATAACGTCAAGTCAGCAAAGATTCGCCTAAAGTCCATTGCAAGCAGCCCTGGCAGGCATTCTGGGAGTGCAACGGGACACACGCAAATGCGCAAGCTGGAGCACAACGCATAACCCTCGGCACGGAATCTCGAAGCCAGGGATCCGTCACGCGCCCCAAATCTCCCTTGGAGACGTTCCGCCAGTGCCTCGTCTCGTCGACGTTGCCCCGGACCTTTGCAGGTTTGCAGCTTGGCTTTGTTTCTTGCGGCGAGCCGACAGAATTGTGAGGTTGCTGCAATCTCTTGGGGCTTCTACCTTTCTGAGCTCATTGCAGCATGAAAAGATGCATTACGAGCGCAAGTACGTTCGGTCCAGACTCCTGGCCACAGTATTACGCCGGTCGCATCCCGAAACACAGTTGCCGCAGTTGCAAATAAGCGGCTCGCACCACGGCTCCCACGAAGAGCTTGGGGATGGACTGCAGCGTAAGGCGATGGATGGTTTCATTGGTGCTTGGAGCTGTCTGAACATGACAGAGCTTTGCGGAACACTGTGGGCACCTGCAAAAATTCCTCCGACTCCTCTGTAGAACAAGGCTCCACCTCCAGGGTGCAGTGATGCATGAACGCCGCACGGCAACCTCTTGCACCAAAGTGCCAGAAAAGAGCGACTACACAACCCCAAGCTCTACCCCAACCGACCACCGCCAAAGCTCGTAGAACTCTGCAAGTTTATAAGGTCCAGAGAGCGCTGTGACAGCTTGTACCTCCCAGCTTTTCCAACAACACTAGCTTCCTCCCGCACTGGAAGCCCTTTTCAAGAACATTGTTCTACATGTTCTGCAAGCCTCGGTGGAAGGTGCGGGTGCACGGGGCTGCTCAAGAGGAGACACCGGCCACCGCAAACCCGGAAGACCCATCCAGCATAAATGGACAACATCCAACATGACGGGAGACAAATTGCAACAAGTGAAGACTGGCCAAAGCGAACCCATCAAAACCCCAACCGACCACCCCCCAAGACTCATAGAACCTTGCAAGGAGGCGAGTCTGTAGGGTCTGAGGATCAAAAAAAGGCCCATGGAGCTCGCAGGGACTTCTAGCCTTGGGATCCGGGACGATCCGGGATGATCCGGGTGTGACAGCTTGTGGCTCCCACCTCTTTTCCAGCAACACTTTCCAACAACACTGGATTCCTCCCGCACTGGCATCGGGAAACCCATCAAAAAACTTTTTCCAAACAAAAAACTTTCTTCTGGTGCTCACAAGCAGGTAACAATCCCCGCAAAACTGCTTCTCCAATCAAGAAACTGTATTCATTAAAGAACACTTCTTGATATATGGATACGTTCCTCAAGGACGGGATCGCTAAATGCGTAGCTGTCCTCGGTTTTGAGAGTCCTTCCTTACGAAGTGCGTGACTGTCGTCGCTTGTGGATGTCTTGCTTCGCGACATGTGCAACTGTCATTGCTCTTGAACGCTCCTCAAGCACGGGATCACCTGCTACGCTTCAAAACGATTCATCTGGCCCAAACCCAGGCTTTTCGGCTCGACAGAGGGCATCTGACCCAACCCCCGCACTTCGGCTCGACAAAGAGAGGGTTCGTGCCAGAAGAGGTAGAAGCTTTAATTCACCTGGCCCAAGCCCAGGGTTTCGGCTCCACGGAGGGGCTGCTGGGAGAAGTAGAATTTTGCTGACAAGGCTCGACAACGGGGGGCTTGGACCAGAAGAGGTCGAATTTAGCGTCCTCTGGCCCAAACCCAGGTTTTCGGCTCGGCAAAGGGGGCTTGGACCAGAAAAGATTGAATTTTGCGATATTTAGCGTCATCTGGCTCAAACCCAGGTTTTCGGCTCGACAAAGGGGGCTTGGACCAGAAGAGGTTGAATTTAGCGATATTTAGCGTCATCTGGCCCAAACCCAGGTTTTCGGCTCGATAAAGGGGGCTTGGACCAGAAGAGGTTGAATTTAGCGATATTTAGCGTCATCTGGCCCAAACCCAGGCTTTCGGCTCGACAAAGGGGGCTTGGACCAGACGAGGTTGAATTTAGCGATATTTAGCGTCATCTGGCCCAAACCGAGGTTTTCGGCTCGACAAAGGGGGCTTGGACCAGAAGAGGTTGAATTTAGCGATAATTTAGCGTTATCTGGCCCAAACCCAGGTTTTCGGCTCGACAAAGGGGGCTTGGACCAGAAGAGATTGAATTTAGCGATATTTAGCGTTTTCTGGCCCAAACCCAGGTTTTCGGCTCGACAAAGGGGGCTGCGGACAAGAAGAAGTTGAATCTAGCGTCATCTGGCCCAGGTTTTCAGCTCGTCCAAGAAGAGGTCGAATTTAGCGTCCTCTGGCGGACTTGGACCAGAAGAGGTTGAATTTAGCGATATTTAGCGTCATCTGGCCCAAACCCAGGTTTTCGGCTCGATAAAGGGGGCTTGGACCAGACGAGGTTGAATTTAGCGATATTTAGCGTCATCTGGCCCAAACCCAGGTTTTCGGCTCGACAAGGGGCTTGGACCAGAAGAGGTTGAATTTAGCGATATTTAGCGTCATCTGGCCCAAACCCAGGTTTTCGGCTCGACAAAGGGGGCTTGGACCAGAAGAGGTTGAATTTAGCGATATTTAGCGTCATCTGGCCCAAACCCAGGCTTTCGGCTCGACAAAGGGGGCTTGGACCAGACGAGGTTGAATTTAGCGACATTTAGCGTCATCTGGCCCAAACCGAGGTTTTCGGCTCGACAAAGGGGGCTTGGACCAGAAGAGGTTGAATTTCGCGTGATTTAGCGTCGTCTGGCCCAAACCCAGGTTTTCGGCTGCATTGCCAAGGCGATGTATAGTTTAATCCTTGATGAAGCACGGCTTCTCGAAAAAGTCATCAAGCAAGTATCTCAGGGAAACTTGTTTCTAGAGCTCAGGTTTGAGCTTGGGATGTCAGAGGAGCTTGCAGGCAACATGTAGGCCACGGGTAGCTCACGTGTGGAGCCCCAGCCTCCATGACGTGACCTTTCCAGCGAGCTTGCGCCGGGAAGTTGATGCGCACTCCGAGTCCCTCCACTTCCTTACGCAGGGTCCCAGCAACGCGAAGAACTTAACTGCGAGAAATGATACTTGAAAAAAATGCAGCCCCGCCTCACTGTGCTGCGCCTCCAACTGCAAGTGCGTCTGTCACAAGGTGGGCTACAGCGCTAGTTCTCCCACCTCCTCACTACAACAGTTTTGCAGCAACGGCAAAACATGATGTCGTGCTAAGTGCTATAGAGGCTTTGCTGAAACGAATTCCCTGTGTGGACACAGGCTTCCCGAAGGCATCAGATAACAGCAGGAAGTGCTGACAGTTCACATTCTCATCCCGCTGCGTATATTCTAGACGTCAAAGCATACCTGAAAAAACGCTGAAACATGCCCGATACTCGCGCAAGCCTGGTACCCGCAACAGAACAGCGGCATAGACTCCTGCCACATCCATTTCAGTGGCTGATTCAGTACACACAGCCCTCAACATGGAAATCTCGAAGCCAGGGATCCGCCACGCGGCCCAAGTCTCCCTTGGACACGTTTTGCCAGCCATACTGTGGCTCGTCAACATCGCCTCGAACCTTTGCAGATCTGCTGCTGGGCTTCGATTATCGCAGCGAGCTGGCATCCCGCTGTGGGGTTGCTGCAGTAGCCGCGGGCTTTTTGGATGCTGCATGGTCCGCAAAACAGATGTAACACAAGTACTTGAGGGCACTGGGGCGCAATCTTCAGTGCACTTTCCATCGGGCCAGAGTGACGTCAGTTTCGTAGGCGTGTAGAGTTTCAAGGTTAGGCGCATAACTAGAGACTAGGGTTTGGGCGAGCAACGTTCAGCGTCCGCTTTTGTCGCGGAGTCAAGGTCAGGAATACTTCATCTCTGCTCGCAAATGCGAGGCATCGTGCAAGTCTTTTCTTGTTGTTGGAAGTTGGTTCGGAAAGGAAATGACAAGTCTTTTCATGGACTTCTGGTGCGGCCCGGCCTGTGTGGCTCCGGACCGAAATCAATCTGCGCAGGCCCAGGGGTTCGGAGTCTGGGGTTTATGTCTCAGGGCAGCTGCTAACAGCTGCTAGGACGTGCACTTGCAGCTGTATCCACCAAGACAAATGACCCAGTTCTATCCAGAAAAGAATCAAGAACTGAGATGAACTGGCAGCGTGTGCTTTCTAGTTCATTTGCAGTTGGATTGGAGTCAGCACACTTTCTCCCCGAGTGACCTAGCCCACAATGATGAAAACCGGTCCCTTGGCACGCGCAGCTCTGATGTGAGCTAGGTAGGAAGTACTGCTAGCCCTGGCAGCACATTGCGCGGCGACAATGCGAAGAAGCGGCTCGCACCACGGCTCCGAGCTCGGGGATGGACTGCAGCACGCAGTGACGCATGGGGTCATTGAAGCTTGAAGCTGTCTGAACATGACTGAGCTGTTGAACATGCTGAAACACTGCAGCACCTGCAAGAGCTTCTCCGACTCTTCTGCGGAACAGAGCTCGACCTCCCCAGTGCAGTGACGTATGAACGCCACATGGCAAGACGAAGAGCGACTACAGTACATGGCTCACGCAAGCTCTATCCCAACTGAGCATTGCAAAGCTCAAAGGGGTACGTGAGCTCCCAATTGTTAAGCCCTGTTCTCTCGGGTTTTGGCGTCTAAGATGGACAAATGAGGCAGGGGACGTCAAAACATTTTTCGACGTCATGATATCCCAAAGAGGACCCGCGCTCAATCTCATGATATTCGCTCCGTGAGCCCTGTTCCTCCTCCTCTGGCCCAGTCTCCCACTCTCTGCGGGTAGGAAACTCTTTGCAGATCGACGAGTCTAGGGTGTGCCGACCCTTTCGCCCCCCTTTCAGCGTAGGCTTCAGCGCGCAGAAGGTTGGCACTTTGTGCCCTGCCCCTCATGATATATGTGTGTGTGTCTGTATGTATGTATGCATGTATGTATATGTATATATATATATATCTATCTCGGGAGCGGCAGCGCGGCAGAGAACGACAGCAACCTTGCTGAGCAGCCCGGCGCAGGGTGATGAGAGCAATGGCTGCCGACTGGGAGATGTGGCCATGATGATGGCATCGCACTCCTTGCTGAGGCCTGCGCTCCAAAGACGAGAGGCTGAAAGTGGATGCCGGAAGCGAGCTTTGGAGCGCGGCGCCGCTGCTGCCCCATGCCCACGAGAGGTGGCACGCCAGTGTTTGTCCAAAGCGCTGATGACGGCCGTAAGGCACTGGGACTGGGGCAGGGTTGGCTGATGCCATCCAGCAGCCATTTCAGGAGCAGACCCGGGCGACACAGGAACACGCGCCGCCTTCAGGAGTGAGCAAGTCATTTAGCAGGTGGGGAGCTCCAAGATAGGCTTGAACCCGCCCACATCGCAGTCATCATGTAAAGGCATGGGAGTGGTGTTGCGTTTTGAGGAGTGACGTCTTAGCTTGTTGTCGGTGACGAGTTCCAGGTAGGCCTTGGGGTTTATGTTTCAGAACTCGATGCAAGGCGTTGAAGCCATGGGCCACTGGACGGGGATTCTCATCTTCAGGCGATTCTCAATTTTCTCACCAACACTAACTGAGGCATGGTGAAGCTTGGCAAGAGGAGCCGGACCCCCACCCCTCCCCCCCCCCTCTTCCCCCCCCGCCCCCAAAAAAAGTAAGAAAAGACACCTGGGTTCCACGATTCACGAAAAAAGCAGCCATCCAAACAGGTATCGCAGGAAACTTCAGCAAATCCACCACCAAGGACTTCAGAACCCTCCTTGTGGGCGGCAGCTGCGGGTCTAGCGGTCTAAGTGACTGACTCTCCTAGTCAGTAAACACAGGGATTCAGAAAAAGCTTACGCGTCGCAGGATGTAGAGACATGAGCAGCTCTCGTGTTGAGCCCCAGCCTCCAGCGCGCGACCTTTCCAGCCTGCTTTGGCTGGAAAGTCGATCAGCACATTGAACCCCTCCGCTTCCTTACAGCAGGTCCAGGCGCGGGCACACACTCATGCTGGGAACAGCCTGACCTCCTTGTGAAACTGCACTTGTGCACTTGTACACACATACTGCCACAACTCGTGCTTGGACGACCGTGACGGATCTGCCCTCCTGCAAGGTCCACTCGCACACGGGGAATGGAAAGCCCCCATGCCTCGCCTGTGCTTTGAGTTTTTTTGGGATGATGCGCCTCTGGCGCACAGCATGTCTGGAAGCTCGCGAAAAAAAAACAAGCCTGACAAGCGTACACATCACATTGCGAAAGGAAGCCACCTAAAACTTCTGATGTGGGTTTGGTGTACTTGGGTGTCATCTGCACACACTCAATTCCTTGAATATCTGCAGAAAGTCTACGTACCGCAGTCCAAAACCACCGGCTGAAGCAGCATGCGCATCCCTCAGCATGGAATCTCGACGCCAGGGATCCGTCACGAGCCCCAAGTCTCCCTTGCCCCGGACCTTTGCAAATGGGCTGGGCTTTGACTACTTTGATTCTTGTGGCGAGCGGCATGTTGTATGTTGTGAGGTGGCCTTTCGGATGCCGAGTGGCCTGCATGAGAAATTTAGATTGCAACACGTAAAAGTACTTGGGGGGAGGAGGAAAGCTAGTGCAGTTGCCTCGGGGTCAGGGCTCAGCTTAGACCGGGGCTTGGCTGTCCGGTCCGGCCTGTTTGGCTCCGGACCGGCGTTCACCAAGGAAGAGTTGGAGTCTATAAGTTAATGTCTCGCAGGGCACCTGGTAAACCGTTTGCTTGCAGCCAAATCCAGCAAGAGAAACCGCTGCTCGTGGCACGCACATTTCTGATTGTGAGGGCTGGCTGTCGTGATGCCCCTATATACTGTGACTTCCGGTGTGCGCCACTGTGCAACTCCACAGGTTGCATCCCCTGGTGTATATAGCCGAGGCATGCCCGACGGGTAGCAACTGAGAAATGCAATGCCTGTAAGCGGCTCGCACCACGGCTCCCACGAAGAGCTTGGGAATGAACTGCAGCACGCAGCGATGGGTGCATCCATTGGGACTTGCAAGGAGCTGTGTAGAAACATGACTCAGAACTCTTGTGGAACACCATGAAACACTGCGGCACCTGCAAAAACTCCTCCGACTCCTCTGCAGGACAGAGCTCGACCTCCCGAGTGCCATGAGGTACCAGAAAGCACGACCACAAAGCTTCAAAACTCCAATCTCACTCATGGGTTTTGGCGCCGGACTTTTTTGCTTGATCTCTCCGGAACTTGCTTCTCAAGTAAGCGTCTACAACAAGCCCAGTAAGCCCAGAGCTTGAGGGCACATAGCAATTCCAGGTTGCCGCCCCGCCCTGCCTCGCCGACGGGGAAGTATCTCCTCTCAGACGGAAACTGGATGAACACATCGTTGTCGCTGTCCACGTACTCGGCAAGTGCGCACGCAGGCAACAAACGCTAGGGCGAGAGAGCGAGCAAGCTCTTCGAACCCCCATCTACGAGCTCTCTTGCCCATCCGAAAAGCAGAGAGTCAAAGAGCGCTCAGCACCAAACTCGCATTCACAGCCGGGCGTCTTCCGCAAGCCCTTTCTCCCCTTTGGACGCGATGTCTCCTCGGACCTTTGCAGGGTTCAAATCCGAGTTTGACCGCGCGCTCTGACTACAATCGCATGCTGCAACTCCACATTTCCCTGCGCTCGTGCACTTGCCTTTAGCAGCATTCCCCGAAGGTGAGCATGGGGAGAAGAGAGGTGCGGGGGAGATTACAAACACTCGCATAGTGGTCGAACGAAGCATCGGCCGGATCGACCGTGTACTATTCCGTGTGAGGCCCGGCGGGCCCACATCCCTCTCCCTCTTCGGACGGGTCTTCTGCGCTTCGGAGATTTTAGGGGTTTTGGGCGCTTTCTCCTCGTATCAGCTTTTGGGTGAAACGCGGGGGCCCATCCCGACCCCTTGCATAGTAATTAGGCCATCTGTAAACAGCATTCGCAAAGCTGTAGCTGGCATGCTGTGGGATGCTGTGGGATAGGGTTTCAGAACAGGAGCTTGATCGAGCTTGGGGTTTTGGGCGCCGCTCATTATCGCCATTAGGTACAGCGTTACTGCAATTGATGGCTCCGATCAGGCAGTTGGCCAAAAAACACCTTGAGCTTGGCAGGAGTGCGCCGAGCTAGCCCAAGCGGCTCGCACCACGGCGCCCGGGACGATCTTGGAGCTGGACAGGGCCTGGGCGCACCCGCGGAGGGCCGATGAGGGGCGCGCGCAACTCCAGGATGCTACAGTTCCAGCGCGTTGCGCCTGCAGGAACTTGTCCGCCTCTTCTGGAGAACAACGCTCCACCTCCCGAACGCCAACAGACATCAACAACTGCAGCCAGGGGCACATGCCATGTTCCGCGAGTTGGACTAGACAAGCTGCGCGGAAGAAGCGAAAGCACACTCGTTCTGCGAAAGCTCCGACTCACCAGACCCTTGCCGCGCCACGGAATCAAACCTTTGTGCTTCTTCTTTGCGCTATGGCCGGCTAATCAGCCCTCTCTAGATTCTTGCTTCAATCGCTCAAAGAAGAATTTCCCAGAATCATTTGCCTTGAGCGGCAAGGGTCCTGAAGTTGCTGGGAGTCAAGCAGAACGGGGTTTCGGGCTGCTCGCGCGTCTCGGAGCTCCAGCCTCGTCGATCTCGACTTTGCAGTCTTTCCACGCCTTCTTCGTAGGAAAGTTGATGCGCACGTCGGTCCCCTTCACTTCCTTACAATGGGGGGGCACGGGCTCAAGCGCTCGATGCTTCCACGGGCTCCCAAAACTGGCAATTTTGGACGCGAAGCCCCCACCCCCAAACTACAGAGAGGGAACCTTGAGCCTTAGATATCGAAATAGACCTTTCGAGGCCCCAAAGCCTCATGTGGAGCCAGGGTGCGCCGGGTCCACTGCCTCCAAATATCGAGTTCTCTGCCGTGTTGCTGTTGCATTAGGTTGAGACCCTTATGAATGCCCCAGCAAGAAGCCAGGACGTTTCCCAGTTCATATAAGGGCGGCATATGATGAGGTTTCGGGGCAGACAGTTTCAGCACTTTGTGCCCACTCCTCCTCGGTTTTGGCCCTGCAGGCGAAAACCCCCAGCTCGCTGGGCTTCGGGCAGAGTCACAGCTCGGGCCCCGAAACCCTCAACACCTCAACACCGGCTTGAGAATTCGAAAACCCGGGTTTGTTTAGAGTACTTGCCCCCTGTGCTTGTTGACGCAATTCGTACGGCCTTTAATTGCTGACAATGTTTGCTCCCAAGCATCGATCACGCACCCCATCTCCTCTCTGGAGACATCTCCGTACTTCGATTCGTCGATGTCGCTTCGGACCTCGCATATGCAAGGGAACTGTTATATGTGCAGAAGGCATAAAATTACTTTGCAGCGGTCCTGACAGCAAGATCTTCTACGTCTACGGAACTGTCCCAAGCAGCTCGCACCACGGCGCCCGTGACGAGCTTGGAGGTGATGGACTGCGCAAATTGCTCGGGCAAATGCTCCAGTGGAGAAATGATATGCAATGATTATATCAGTGAGCACCATCAAACGCGTCGAAGCTCCCAGACATCCATTCCTAGACCCATCACTGCCCTGAACAGCACTGATTTTTTCTCTGCCGCGCCTGCAGGAAGTCCTCCACCGCTTCTGAAGAACAAAGCTCGACCTCCCGGACGATGCTGCATGTTGCTGTCGACCAATCTCTTGTGTGCTGATGATTTGCAGGGTCGTGGGCAGCTTAAAATTATACTTGTTGAAAAAGACCTTCTCCAGCCTTATCGATCTCGCCTTGCCAGCCCAGCTGTGATAGAAAGTTGACCCGAACGCCGGTCCCGTGCACTTCCTTGCGGGCGTGGCTGCGCATGGAGGGGGTGGGCCTCTGAGGCTTTGGTGTGGCCCTCTACGACATAGAGGTCGATCTCTATCAAAGGTCGAAAATCAATGCTGATAGCAATATCGGGATCCATAGACGAAGAAGAATAGAAAACGTATGCGTGCACATATGTGGGCAGGGCATGATGCGGGTGGCATGTCAGCTTTCTTGATTGGCAACGCATCCCAAATACTGCCAGCAGGACAACGAGAAACGTGTACACAGGTGGAAGCAACAGGGCGAAGGTATGGGCTTCGTCTGCTTACATCTTGAGCTGGCCACTGCAACCTTTTGCAAAGCAACCCAACAAGGCCTTCTGCCACCTACGGAACTAAAACTTGTCCGGCCAGCATCATTTACAAGCACAATCGGCACCAAATCTCGCAGCCGGGCATCCACCACACGCCCCATCTCCCCTTTGGACACCTCACCCAGCTTCTGTTCATCGACGTCCGCTCGGACCTTGCAGAGCTGCTGAGATTGTTTCTTCTCGCAGCAGCACTCCAGGTCTCGGAGAATAGTTTTGGTCGAAGGGAAGTTTTGGAGCACAAGGCTTTGATACGCGACTGATGTTCTCAAGCCACCATGAAAGGCCCAAATATCCTCGACACCTTCGACGCTCAAGGCTCCCTGAGACTAGGGAACCAATGCCCAATGCCAAGCAGCTCGTACTACGGCGCCCGTGACGAGCTTGAACGTGATGGACTGGCAAACAGCAGTCTTCAGGCTCCGCCCATCGAGAGGGACTGAACGTGCCTGACCCGCCCCTTTTCGTGCTGGACTTATGGTGACGCGGGCGCCTCGAAGCGCAGAACCTTGGCGCTGATCTCGCTGCCCTCTGTGGCGATGACCGCGATGCTGTCAATCCTCTTCGGCAGCAGCGACCCCTGCCATGGGGCCCGGAGCCGAAGGCACCAACAGGTGGCAACAGGTTGCAGCGCACTCACCAACGCACTCGTTACAGCAGATCACAGCCCCGCGCCGTGCAGATGTTGGTGGGATGGGGAATCTCCACGAACTCCGCGCGCACCTCCCGCTGCGCTAAGAGCGGCACCATGGCCTGGAACACGCGCAAATTAGTTTTTCGGGGGGGAGGGGAGAACCTATATGCATGGCTTCATGCGCCTTCCATTTGCGATGCTACTGCGAGCCTCTTCCGGAAAGTTTATGTCGGCGAGCAGCAACGTGGGCAGGTCCTCCTTCAGAAGCTGGGCAAGGGAGTCCGCAAACTCTTGCCGGGCGGGGCCAAAGGGCTTCCCCGGCAGGTGCCTGCGAGCAGCAGCCCTCCGTGTAACGGCCCAAAGCGAGCAAAGTGTCAATACGACACATCGTCTCATCTGCACAACGCAAAAATCGCTAGAGGCATCTCCGAGCCGAGGCTCGTCGTCACCAGGCGCAGACCGGCCTTGGAACCGCCCAACTTGAACTTCACCTCCATGATGGCCTTCCAAAGTGTGGCGAGCAAGTCGCCAACAAAGCGAAATTAATTCACAGAGAATGCCAAGTGGACAAGCGAATCTGCTGACCGCTACAACTGGGCAGCCTTTTATTATAGCGGGCACGATGCAGAGGTTGCATAGACATACCGCGCAGGCTGAATCCTCTTCACAACCCTTCATGTTCAAGCTCCACACTCATGCATGGACAAGCTTTTGAAGAAATCGAAGAACATTACCACCCGTAAATGAACAAGCTTCATGACATGTTCAGATTCAGCGACAACACGAGCACCAACTTTGAAGAACCTGAAGGAATTATCAGCCACGAGCATTGCAAAGCAAAACCCAATCACGACTGTTTTCTTGCGTGTTCACTTCGCTCAGGGGTTGTGCTTTGTTGTGTCCGAGAATCCCACAAAGTTAACATGCCGAGCATATAGATATGAAAATCGGCCATTGGAAATAGCTTTAGCCAAGACGTCCCTATCAGCATCACGAGCATCTCAGGGGTATGAAGCGGATTAAGCCTTCGCGGTATGTCTGTGATTCCGCTGCATCGTGCCCAATACTCCAATTGTTAAACTTGCGGAATACGAGGCAAGAGTAACCCCCGAAACCTGAAGGCGAACAAATTCAGCAGCTAGCTTTGTCGCTTACGCATTCCCTCATTCCCTGCAAAAGGCCAGACAAGTATGTTGCTGCCACGGCCCAGCGCTACCGCGACAATCTTGCGTCTTCCCACCCCCGCCCCCCCAGATCCCCCACAGCAATCTGACGCAGCCCCTGGCCTTCTTGGCATCGGCCGTCGTGTAGGCTGCGTGGCCGCGGTGGCAGGTCTGCTCCACCAAGGTGAGAGACTCGCGGTCGAAGACCACAGCCTTTAAAGCGAAGGCAGAGTTCGAAGATTTCGGGGGCGGGTCTTTCTAGGTTCTTCCACAAAGATGTCACACTCATGCGCAGGATTTCAGAGGATAATGGGATCTCACTCTCGCGCAGCGGATCACGGGGCGCCTCCTGGTTCGCATCCTCCTCCTCGCCACTTTGCAGCACCTCGTAGCGCCCGTGCTTGTTCAGCCTCTTCTTGAGGATCCGCAGGAAGTCCGGGGAGCACTCTTGCAGGCCGAGCAGGTGCACACGCTCGAAGTGTGGTAGTGGGGGAGGGTGCAACATTGCGAAGACCAGCTCGGCAACCCGGCGCTCCCTGCCATCTGCCAGCGCATCTCCTTCCTCGCCTTCTGCACCCTCATCCGGGGTGCCGTGGAGGGTCGAGATCAAGGAGCCCTGGAGCCCCTGTGAGTCGCTTTGAATGTACTTGTAGTAGCGCTTGTTCAGGACGTTGTAGGAGACCGCGCGGAGCTTCCGGCCCACCACGCAGATGACGGCACCCACCGGAAGGTGGTCCGAGGGCATTTGCCACTGCCACCCCAGAGGCTTTGCGAGGCGGGGCATGGAGCCCAGCATGTTTGTCACCACCAGCCCGGCAGAGCCCTCCAGCTCCAACTGCACGGCTGCCAGCACGTCCCGAGCCCTCACCTTTGTAGAGACCTTCTCCAGCTTGGCCAGGCAAAGGGAGACAGATGCGAGTCCTTCGCTGGCAGCTTCCCTTTCCATGCCAGCGGCAGCCTGCTTCTCACGCAAGAGCTTCAGCTGCAGCCCCTGCAGACGGTCGCCTGACGCCATATGGTACACTGCATTCTGCTTGAAAACATGCTGTTCATGTACTTACCAAAAATGTGAAACTGACTTACTGATTGGGATGCCCAGCCCAGCGACACAAGGCGGCCACGTCCGCAAAGGCGTCGTCCACGGCGGTGTTGGTGCGTGCGGTTGAGTCAGACGTGCCCGTGGCCTGCGGGGCTTTTTTCATCATGCCAGCCAGGGCCTCTGCGTGGGCGGCTGCTTGGCAGAGCTCGGCAGCCCAGTGCTGCAAGAGCGGCTGCAGCAGCTCCAGCGCGGCCACATGGGCCTCTCGCCCCAAACCTCTGGCTGACAGGAAAGCGCTCCTCTCCCAGAGGCGCTTCACCTCGGCATATCCCGCGACTTGTTATGACACACGCGCCGACGCACACACAAAAAGCGTGTCACACACATCCACTGACGATAGCAGGTGCCTGCGGTATGCATGCAAAATAAAAGATCACGTCATGTCGCACTGAGAGCCGCATGCCACACAGAGAGCGTGCGAAGAGAAACTTTCCACAACTGAGGAGCCCGCGTACTTCACTGCCTTGGGGTGCTTGGCAGAGTAGTCCTTCAAGCCTTCTTCCAAATATTGGATGAACAGTCCGTCCTTGGACACTGGGGTGATGAGCCTGAGGGGGTCATCCTTGCCAATGCGGCCGACGTAGAGCACGTTGGTGATCTCGAAGAAACGGGGCGCATCTCTTGGCCGGTTCTGGAAGAGGCGCGTCTTCGCAAAGATGTCGATCTTGGCCGTGCGGCCTCTCGCGCTGCATGCCAGTGCTGACACCAGATCCACCGTCTCTGTGCTGGTGCCCTGAGGCTTCTGAAGCTTGACCTCCTTTTTGCCTCTCTGCAGCTCCTCCAAGGTCCACGTCAGGAGACGATTCGGGTCTTCGGAGGTGGGGTCCCCCGTCTTCAGGCCGGCCCAGTGGACGGCCTTGCCGGCCATGCTGCCACCGCCCCAGCGGAGTCCAAACTTCTCCTGCAGCCTTTTCGCCAACTGCTCCAGCGCCTCCTGGTCCGTGTTCGCCTCGAGGACGACTTGCTCAGAGAGGTCTACGTCTCCAGGGTGGTCGAAGGCCTTGAACCTGAAGCTGCCCGAGGGACGGGTGTGGTCGTACATGGAAATTTCGGAGATCACGCCTCGGAGTTCCGGGCTGAGATCCAGTTGAAAACGTTCCTCCAAAAGAGCCGCCAATCGGCAGAGCTCACAGCTCCCAGGGCATTCTGCTTTCAGGCACGGAATTCTTCTGGCCAGCTCTTCCACAATGTCCCTTGTGCCACCCCTCATCAACGGCAGAGCCCCGATCCGGAAGCCCATGGATCTGTGGAAGGCGTCGCAGGCTTGCCGCAGAAGATCCTCCGAGCTCGCGTGGATCCGCAGAAGCTTGGGTTGCGCGACTGGGAAGAGCGATACATGGACGGTGCCCGCCGCAGAGCGGGCCTCCAGTCGGTTGCTGAAGAGTTGGGGCGGCCCGGACTTCAGTTCCGAGTTGGCTTTGGAGAGCTGCTGGTGGAGTCGCGCGGCGAGCTGGGGGAAGAGCTGGGCAGTGACGAAGCCGTCCAGGTTGACGTAGATCACCTTGTCCTCCGGCGCGATGGGCGGCTCGGGAAGTTGAGTTGCAGGGAGACAGGATGGGATCGTAAACTCCGCCTCAGATCTCTTGACCATCAGCCGGCGCTGGATCATCACCTCCCTCAGCAGCTCTCGCTCATTCTCTGCGAACTCCGGCCAGAGCGTGTCCATGAGCTGCGCACTGATGATACCACTCGTCCTGAACCGGAGCACCTGCGGCCGGGGGCAGCAATGCATGGTGAAGTTCGCCGTGCATTTCTCGCATGGAAAGTTCAAAACTGCATGGTGAAGTTCCTGGTGGATTTGGGAGTCCTCTTAAATTCACGTTTATGTAAAAATATGAGAACAATAGCGGGGGGTGGCTGCAAAAAGGCGAGGTGCCTCCCCGCGATCCGCTTGAGACACCTTCGCATCCATGTCCTTCACGAAGGCCTTGGAGTGCGCCCAGTGCCCTGCATCTCGGAAGCGCACGAACATCAGGCTGCAAAGGGCTAACGCCACCTCGCGGAAAGTGAAAGAGACACATTCAACGGATACAAACATGCTGTCTGCTGGCCCTTTCGCCTTCGTGATCCCCCTCCCACCTCTCCCATCCCGCCATTAGCCCCCACCTTGCGGGGGTTCAGCATCACCAGCTCTTGCAGCTCTTCTGGCTCATGGAACCACACCAAGCTGCCCAGGCTGTGCAGCAGGGAGAGAAACTGTTTCACGTCGCCTCGCAGGCCGCTCTGCACTTGCACAGGCACTTTTCATCAACCATGCAAGCAATCTGCATCTCGAATATCACGTGAAACCGTGAGTACCGACAAAATTGTCACGCTGAGCATCTACGGCAAAGTCCGTCTTCGCGAAGTCTGATTCTATGTGAAAGCCGTGCAAACAGACAAACAAACATATACTGTAACACGGAAAGAGGGGCTTAGAGGTTGAGATCGACTAAATGGGTCTGGGAAGGGGAATCGGGCCTGGCTCCAGGGCCTGCGGGCGCATCCCGAGCAGCAGCTCCTCCACAATCTGGTAGGGCAGGAAGTCGTAGGAAAGTTCCACGACCTGACTTCCACAGCCTTTGCAAACTCCTCTTTTGAGGGCTGCACCTTCCGGGGCCACCATCGCCTCCCCGTTGCTTGCATTCATCCTCAATGGCCCCTTCAGCGAGCCACATTGTCGATCCTCAAGTTGGCCGCCGCATCTCGGGCAAGCTGCGGAGTCTTCGCTCTCTTTGCTATCTTGAAGTTGTGCCTTCCTGTTGATCTCCTTTGGGTCAGCGGTGCCCCGGAGCCCTTGGCCAAGCTGGGCGAGGAGGTCGTGGCCTCGGAGCCAGGGGATTGGGTACCGCTCTGAGCAGATGCCCGCGTGGCAGGCGCTTGGCTCCTGCTCCTCACATTCCTCACTCTCCTCATTTTTCTCCTTCTTCTCCTCTTCTTCCCTTTTATGGCTTGGCTCGCTGGGATCGCTGCGCTCGGTCTCGGGGAGGACCATCTCCAGGCCGGCCCGGGCCACGGCCGCACGCAGTTCCGGGATGCCTCTGCAACCCGAAGGCGCCTGAGGCTTGTTCTCCACTCCAAAGAGCCAGCAGCAACCGCACTCGTCATCCTGGCTCTTCTGCAGTTGGCTTTTCAGGCCCGGCACCTGCTCCAGCAGGCTTTCCATGCGCTGTTGCAGCCACTCCTCCATCCCGGCCCGCCGCTCGGCCCACCGGGTCCCCACCAAGAAAATTGGGGGCTTCGGGCGCGCTGTGCCCTCAGCAACCTCTGCATCCTCATCTGTGCACTCTGGCAGCGGCTCACTGGCATACTGGGCGATCGCCCAGAGCCAAAATTTCAGCTCCTGCCACTCCTCCTCCGGGTCTCCACTCAGGTCGACAAACACCAAGTACACGGCGCGGCTGGAGAAGTATAGCAGATTAAGCTGAGAATACTCGCGTTGGCCAGGAAAGTCCCAAGCCTGGAGCCTCAGCTCGGGCTTGGGACCTGCAGCTCCTTCCATTCCGCTCTGCCGTCCTCCTAGCTTCAGTAGGAAGTCCGCGTTCAGTGGTGCCGGCCCTACCAGCTCTGCGGCCTCCGCCGCCTCCACCACCTGCGCACCCTGCCGTTGCAGCGGCGCGGCTGCCCTTCTGCCCTCATCGTCGGCCTTCAGGGAGCCTCGCGGACCTCCTTGCTGGACAGTCGCCTGCTTCGCTCCTCCTCTCTCCTCCGCACGCTCCTCTTCCTCTTCTTGCTCATCCTCCTCATCCTCCTGCTCCTCCTCAACCATGCCAAGCGCCCCGAGAGCGGCTCCGTCCGTGACCTTGCCTTGAGCCTGCTGCCACTGGGCGGAGAGGTCCGAAGGCACCTCGCGGGTCCAAACTTCCACGCCCACCGTGGACTCCTCCTCTTGCTCCGGCAGCTCCTCTCCCCGCAGGCGCCTCGAAGCTTCGCATTTTCCGAGGCTTATGAGGAATAGGAATCCGCTACATTATTGCTACACGCTCGGCATCGCTCAGCTCAGCACACTCCGCAGCTTCGTGTGATATCAAAGTGTGCATCTCGCGCTGCTCTGTGCACCCTGCCTCAGGGTCGTCGTCTTCCCGACACGGCCCCTGCCCACCATGCAGAGCCGCAACACCGACAAGGGCTCCCTGGCTTGTGCGTGCCACCTGCAGGGTTCCAAGTGGGCACCGCTTTCGGCAGGTCATTCAAGGTCTCAAGGCCTGTTTTCTTCACAGAGCAAGTGCCTTGCCAGCTCCCTTCCCAGGTGCAGAAGCTGGGGCAGATCCTCCAAAGCCAGCTGCAAGAAACAGAACTGCAAACAAGACCGCTTACAATGCCCCAAGACAACCTCAATCGAAGCATGAACACCCTGCGCGTGGATGGCGGCTCAAGCCGGGCAAAGACTGTCAAGTTGCCACTCTGCTTGCGGGTGTGATTTTCAGGACCGGGGGTTGGGGATGGTCGACCTGTGATGCAGCATACTGTCGCAGATTCCCGGATGCTGCTTCCTGAGTCCCCCAATTCCGCAGCTTTGAAGCTGCAAAGCAAGATATGGCAAGATCTCCGTAATCTCCAAGCCCTACTGGACTTGATTCCTCAACAAATTTGATCAAGGATTGCAAACCAGGACTCGTAAACCGAGCGCCTGTTCCACACTGCATTATATTGCATTACGGTTGTGGTTGCGGAGTTTTCGGCCTAAAGAAACCCTCGTGAGAGGGGGCAGGCTTTGCCCATGACTTTCCTGCAGCCTGTATCCTTGCGGGTGGGATTTATTGCAGAATTGAGTAGTTCATCCCCACAGTTGCCTGCATCAGGCAAGCGTTCTGCCATGAGGGTGGGCGGTGGGGGGGGGGGGGGGGCGTCATGTCTACGCATAGTGGCCCAACTCGCGAGCTTCATTACCACAACTAATGTCCCTTCCAATCTTTCGCCATCGCTACGTCGCCTCTTCGTGGAAAAGGAGTCATATGACAGAATTCAGCTCTTCAATGCCTTGCACTATTTGCTCCCAACCTCATGCTGCGCTCAGACGTAGTGGTTAGCAAGCCGTCTAGTTACACGTAATTATACTCAGCTGCTTTGGGGCTGTACAAACATCCCGATGGAAATGGGCTTGTCCCGAATATTGCTATCGTTTTTTCTACTCCTTATCGTTTTGCAGTGTTTGCACACAAAACACAGTATCTTTGGCTAGACTTCTTATCGTTTTACAGTGATTGCGCACACAAGGTGATGCTGCGGGGGTACATGGCTGGCTTGCATGCCAAAGCCTAGGTGGCTTCAACATCGAGCCTACCACAGCGACGGTTCACTTCTTAGAGATCCGGAAACATCAGCCGCAGTGAGGTTTCTGAGGGGCTTCACCCAGGCAGCAAAAACCCTGCAAAATGTTATCTTTTTTCTCTCTGTTTCTCGTTTTACAAGCTAAACGCTTCAGGCGCACTCCTTTCTAAACCGCAAGCCGCGGGGGTATTTTACAACCACGCTTTGTTCTCCGAACCCACTGCTTTCTCAACCGGCCTTTTTTGGACTGTTTGTGATCCGTGCAGCTTTTGGCTTCTGACTGACAGTGTGCTCGAGCTAAACCACGCGCCTCAGTACATGTCAAGCTTTGCATGCTTTCTGCACTCAGTATCCTTGGCGCCGAAGATCCACAGGTCGTCCAGTCCTCAGCGAGAAGGGAGTTCCCGATAGCCCCGAGAGTTCGGCCCGACACTTCCTTGATCGGCAAATCTTGGCCCCGCACCGCTTCCGCTGACCGTGCCTGAGGGAGTCAGAGGGGCGAAGACGGCTCACACGCATGCACCTCTTCCCCTGCTCTGGCCCGGGTCGGTTCGCAGCATCCCGCAGCTCTCGGCGCCGGACCCCCGAAGATCATCAAAGACCGGGACTTCGCATCGTAGGCGGTGGCAGAGGAACTTCTGCCCGCGGGCTGCGCGCCGGAAGGCCACAGCTGCTGCCAGCGCCCAGCCTGTTCCGGCAGGGAACGCCCGCGCAAGGACCAGGTTGACACGAAGCCCCAGTTTCGACGCTTTGCTCCTAAACACTCTGAGCTTGGTCCACCTCGAAGGGGCCAAAGCAGCTGTTGCTCCGCATTGGTTGACCACCCGAGGGCTGTTGTGGGCTCATACTGTCGTTGACATAACTTTGCTGTGACCCTCACTTCGTGGGAGATGAGATGCGGACGTTAACTTACTTCTCCCGATAACCAAGAGAAAAAAGCGAAACCTAAACCTATATTGTTCCTACTAAACAAGGGAAGCCCAAGAAGTTTCAAGTGCAACTATCGGCGAAGTAAGAAAGTTAAACAAAAAGGAACTACACTCTCGGACCCTCGCATCTGGACTTCGTTAGACGAGCGAGCGCTGGCACTCCGAGGCCTTGATGTCGAAGACCCACAAGTCGTCCAAATCTCAGCAACCCCGAGAACGAAACTCTCAAGCGTGTTCCAAAAACACACAAGCAGCGAGAACCACTGAATCGATAAGGCAGATAAGGCATTGAGCCAGCAAACTGCAGTAAACGTCAACCTGCTGGTCCAGCCCACACATCCCGAAACGACTCGCACAATTACCTCCGATCAACGTCTCCATCACGGCCCTGACAATACGTGCGACGCATGGCAATGTTCCTATCTGACTTGTTCAGAGCTAACAGCGCAAGAGTTCCTCAGGACGCAGGGCCGTCACCGTGCGTTCAGGGAACCTCTTGGCTGTGGCACCGAGACAGCGCGTGGTTGCACACAAGGAAGCCCCGTGGCTGGACATGCCCGAGTCCAGGCACCCTACGATTGTCACGAGCCTGAGGTTCCCGGATGTCGACGGCATGACTCATGACATGATGGCATCACCCTCCATGCTGGGCTCACCTTTGACGAACCTGTTCGTTTGCTGCAGCGCCATCTCGGACTGACGAGATGTAGAGGAGCTGCCTTCACTTTGACATGCCCCGCACTCCGAGTGATCGCTTCTTGGTGCTAGGTAGGACGGCCTGTGCACGAGAGTTGTGTTTGCTTGTGCGATGAAAACGACTTGATGGTTGCGATGGGCTCGGGCAAGACCCTCGCAACGTGCGCTCTGCAAAAAACCTGTGAATAGCTGAGGTTTGCACGAGCACCTGAGGCTTAGGGTACTTAGGGTCTTTGCCCCTCTTAATAGGCCTTTGCCTCACCTTCTGCATCCTCGGGGTTTAGGTTTAGGTTTATCAGGTTTATAATACCCCTACTCCCAATCACTGTGCTTAGCTGAGGTCTGCACAAGCGCCTGACTGAGCACGGCCTCAGCTTACTATGTGCAAGCTGCACGCGGGAGCGCAGGCCATCAGCTCAGAGCCAGGCCCCCGAAGACCAGCATGGACCGAGACTTCGGGTCGAAGGTCGCTGAAGACCAGCATCTTGCCGGCGGTCGCGCACCTTGGGGCTTCAGCTCCTCCCAACGCTTGGCCTCCCAGCCAGAATCAAGCCGCATCAAGTTCGCTTTTCCGATGCCGTCTGCAGCTACGCTGAGTGCCTCACTGACTAGAATCCTACGAGGAATCCTCCTCAATATGGAACATAAGCGCATACATCAAAAAAAGCACCCAAAAGGGAATGCCAGAGCACCTCCAGGTCGAAGGTCCACACGTCCGAGAGCAAGCCCGATCCCCCAAGAGTAACCCTTTCTGACGTGGAACCTGTGCAGGCTCGGCATGGTATTTGTAAGGGCTGAGGACCCTTGGAAGCCCCCCATGAGAGCAATCCCGATCCGAAGAGCTGAGAGGAGAGTGGGACACGACGGAATCTGTAGCAGTGCAGCTCACGCAGAAGCTTGGGCGAGGGCCTCCGAAGATGACCATGGACCGGGACTTCGAGTCGACGGCCGTGGCGTGACCAGTTCTGGCTGGGGGCCGCGCCCCGTCCGGGACGAGCTCTTCCCAGCGCTGGGCCTTGCCAGATGCAGATGCAGGACAGACTCGATTTTGTTCAATTTTTGTTTTGTCTATCTCTCTGTCCCATCCAAAGCTTTCGAAGGAAAATCTATGCAGGCGAGGAGGGACGGTCGATCTTGGGAGATGCAGGCCACGAATGCTTGCAGTCACCTGAATCTGGCTCCAGAACGACGCAAGCAACATGGCTTCAAGCCTGGAGGTCAAAGGCCCACAGGTCGCCGAAAACCTCGCCTCAGGAAGGCTGCATCACAACATGCCCGCTTGCCCACCAGGCAGCGGCATGTCGTTCGACAATTCTCCCAAGCCGCGGTTGGAACCAGCACCTTGGCTCCCAGGCGCAGTATATTCTTGATCATCAGGGCAGAACCTGTCGGTCTACGTCTACACAGCTCAGCGCAGGACCGCCATAGACCACCGTGACATGGGACTTCCGGTCCCAGATCGCCGAATGACCCTGTCTGGCCGGCGGTCGCGCCCCCTCAGACTTCAGCTCCTCCCATTGCTTGGCCTGCCATCACGATCTGTCCCTCGTCAGCACACTGGAGCTTTGTGGGGAGGCTGGCGCAAAGCACAACGAGTGCTGTGTTTGGCATTCGACGTGCGGCACCTGTTGAATGGCATGCTAGGTGCTATCTTTCTATCCGCTGCATCCATCCTATATTATATATTTGCAATAGATCGAGATGACAAATTACAGCAGTTTGGACAGGGTCAGGGCGCCTGGACCCTGCTTCAAGATGTCAAACGCTCTACGCCGTCTCTCCACACACCCTCCACACCACACTCTGGCGATCCAAGCATGACCCATCAACAGGAAACAGCACAACTATTATAGTTATACCCAGGAAGCAACTGCGACATGCCAACGGTGAACATCCACCGACATGTTCAAGGCGGCGGCGATTCGAAAATACTTTTGTGGATCGAACCGTCGGTTTTCGTCACCGTGCATTGGGCTGCAACCAGAAGCTTCAGCCCTGAGTCCTGGCACTTTGGACGGCTCTCTCGAGCACAAGGGCGGTTGAGGGACTCCGGGGCTCGTTATTCCCAACGAAGGCTCCGCACTGGTGAACAGGCCAACGAAGGGCTCAAGGAAGGCCGCGTGGTACTGTAGCTGCAGCTGTGAGAGAACTGGCAATCTTCCGAAACCATCTCGGCGTGCAACAGCGCGCCGGACGGCTCACTTGCATGTTCGATCAGCAAACTCAAGCCAGCAAACTCAAGCCAAGCCGCCCGCAGTACGCAAGCCACTGTTCTTTCCAACTCTCCAGTGCTCTGTTGTTGTTGTTGTTGTTGTTGTTGTTGTTGTTGTTGTTGTTGTTGTTGTTGTTGTTGTTGTTGTTGTTGTTGTTGTTGTTGTTGTTGTTGTTGTTGTTGTTGTTGTTGTTGTTGTTGTTGTTTTGGTTGTTGTTGTTGTTGTTGTTGTTGTTGTTGTTGTTGTTGTTGTTGTTGTTGTTGTTGTTGTTGTTGTTGTTGTTGTTGTTGTTGTTGTTGTTGTTGTTGTTGTTGTTGTTTTGTTGTTGTTGTTGTTGTTGTTGTTGTTGTTGTTGTTGTTGTTGTTGTTGTTGTTGTTGTTGTTGTTGTTGTTGTTGTTGTTGTTGTTGTTGTTGTTGTTGTTGTTGTTGTTGTTGTTGTTGTTGTTGTTGTTGTTGTTTTTTTAAAACTTGGGGTGGCCAGCGAGCAGCAGACCATCAGACTCTCAACCCTCAACACAGGACGGCCCTTCGCCGGGCACTCGGCATCTATAGGATTTAGACAGTCCCCGTACAGATGCTAGACCTCGCAGCCAGATAAGCATGCCCATGGGAGTTGGCAAGCAGCGACGTTGCGCAGACGAAGGCTGCACAGGAGGCCTTGACTTCGAAGATCCAGGTCTCGTCTGTTTTTGCGGCGTCGCCTTGAGATGCAAAAGGCACAGAACACTGAGATGAAGCGAAAGAGCCAGCCGGGGGCCCGCACGCCCATCGCCGATCCAACCTTAACCCGGACATGGAATCTGTGTAACTGTACGGAGGCAAACGCTTGCAGATTGGCGTGGAAGTGCATCATGCCAGACAGAAAGCTTTCTAACAGAGAACTGCAAGGCTCCCCAATGGCAAGCACCTGTCAAACATGCTTGGGCTGTAGAAGTGAGAAGCACAGAGAAAACTTCACCTGTTTCGTCAGCAATGGCTTCTTTGACCCTCGATTTCATCCTGGTTTTTGCCAGTTTTGGGATTTGAAATTGTATAGGTATGTATAAGTCCGACTGCATCGGCACATTGCAGGGTTCCAGGCGCAGCTCAGCGCCGCACCACCGAAGACCACGATGGTGTGCGACTTCGGGTCGCACACCGCCGAGTGAGCACCTCTGGGCGCGGGCCGCTCTGCCTCCTCCAGCGCCACCTCCTCCCAGCGCTGCGCCTGCCCACAGGAAACCGCAGGGCACACGATCTCGACAACTGCACAACCGCATTTTGCATCCCTCACATCCATCGAAAACAGCTCGCCACACGAGCCCGCCAAAAACCGCTTCGAAGAATATCCGGCATCTGTGCAAGTTGGGCTCGTGGGCAACAAGGGAGTTAGCCTGACGACTGGGAGACTCGGATGCCCATCTGCAATGGGTTGCGCGTGGCCCCTGCGCAAGATCCGAGCATCAGCCAAGGAGGACACGCACAAACCAGAAGGGCATGGACCCAGGGGGAGAAGGGTGATGTTTTGGAGTTCTAGAGGTTGGGGTGGAAAGCCTTGGGGCCGAAACCTCATCGCAGAGTCGTACCAGCATCATCGAGCTCCCTCAATCCATCACAACACTCACGTGAAACCAGCTCCCCTTCTCCTGCTAACCCTCACTACCACACTCACACTGTACGTAGCCAGGGGATAGACTGGGAAAGCGGCCCCAAGGCCGTGCCAAGTTGGCACACATCTGTGATTTGGCTTTTCAAAACATCGGACATGACATGCAAGTAGGCCCTGCAGCAAATGACGAACATACAAACCTACAGAAAACTACAGAACCTACAGAAAACTACCAGCTCGGTTGCCGAAACAGAATTACGGCGCCACAACTGAGGTCACATGTTTTCCATTGTTTCAAGGCTTGCTGAAGCTCAAACACCCACTGGCACCCATGCCCTGCCTACATATTTCGGGGTGAAGAGCATGATGAACATGTGATGCACTTCTTCAAGAGCAGCGTGGCTGGTTGCGAAAACACTTCCCGTGAAGCCGTAAAGTTTCGAAACTGCAAAGACCAGGTAGAACTTCTTGCTTCGCAGCAGTGCCACGAATCCCGGCACGGCGCGATTTGGGCTGACTGCATCTGGACCCCAGGCCTGCAGATCGAAGATCCACGTGTCAGACAGTGACTTGCCTCCGCCAAATCCTTTGCATGGGCTGGGGCGCTCCGGATTCACACGACAGGACGCACGCACGCGAGAAAGCGTAAGGCAGCTCAGGATGGGGCCCCCAAAGACCACCAAGCTCTGGGAGGTCGGCTCGTAGGTCATCGAGTGTCCCCATCTTCGCGGCGGCCCGCCCTCGGGGCTCAGCCGCTGCCAGCGCATGCCCTCCTCGCCATAAAAGGCTCCCAGTGCCCCAAAAGTTACGCAAAAGGCTCGCAGCTGCGCAGCCCCCGGCCTCGACCATCGGCACCTCGACAAGCTCCGCCTGCGGTTGAGCGTGGAGCTGGGCGAGCATAAAGAGGTGACTGTTAGAAGAACCCTGCGAGCTTCCCCGAGACCCAGGGGCCCCCACAGAGGCACTAGCACAGCGGCTTTCCCGCTTCTTTCCGCCGCTTCTTTCCCCACCCCCTTCCCCAGTAGCCCTCGGCCTCGGGCGGAGCGCGCGCTTTCCCCAGCCAAGTGAGGGAGGCGGCCGGGGCCTTGTGGAGAAGCGTGTGGCCTACGAGGGCGCCTGTGCACTCGAGCCATCTTTCGGGGCCGGTGCGAGGTGTAAATGAAAGATGATGAGAGATGCTTGCCAGCTCCGGACCGGAGTGAGCTTCAGACACAGCCAGGATTGAGCGAAAGATGCATTCCTGATCTTTCACGGGGCTGGGGGTTGGAGGGGGGTGACGGTGAAAGATGTCTAACAAGCTTTTTGGTCAAAAAGCAGCAGAGACAAGTTTGGTGCGAGCTATTTGGTTAAAAGCAGCCAAAAGCAGCAGAGACAAGTCTGGCGCGAGCTATTTGGTCAAAAGCAGCAGAGACAAGTCTGTCGAGAGCTGTTTTCAAAAAGCAGCAAACCAGTCCCCGGTTCACCTTCCGGGCCGAGGTAGGGCTAGGGGCCCTACAAGACCTCACAGGCCCTCACAAGCCCCCACCAAAGCATTACGAGGTGCAACTGGCGACAGTGGTGGGGTGGGCAGGACCTGCTCGGCCCTCTCGAAGTTGGCTTTTTTGAGAGAATAGCAGCTCAAGAGCGCACGTCCTCAAGTTCAAGCACCTGAACGATGAGGAGAGCATCTTTCACTGCCGATACCCCTGCTCTGAAAGATGAGGAGTGCATCTTTCAATGCGAAGGAGGAGGAATGCATCTTTGAATCTACTTGTTGAGCCCCGTCTTCTCTGCGAGCTCCTGGCCCACCTTAGCACCCTGCATGCGCGAATCACAGGGAAGTCGAACTTCACCGAAACTTGCCGAACTATCTACGGCGGGATCAAGAACCAATCGATTTAGTCCACGGAGGAGGTAAGACCACACATGGATCACTACTAGCCACGCTTCCAAAAGCTTAAACAAGAGCATATATGAAATGTCTACGGCGAGTCTACGGCAGAGCGTCACCCGCGAAAACACATACATAGCACACTTGCGAACGCAGATTCCCCGATTCTTGCGAAACGGTCAACCTCCATTGTTCCGACGCAAGCAAATTCCAAAAAGGAGAGGCACCCCTGAGACAACTTCTAACATGTGTTAGCCAATCCCTGGCTGGTTTGGCATCCAACTTGACCTGATCTAACATCCACACTCGTGGCGATTTCACATATGCGATTCCTTTGTTGCCTCAAAGCATGACGTGCTGGTTGGTCCCGTTGCCAACTTCTGTGGCGTCGCTGTTCACGGAAAAAGGTCACACATCAAAAAGTACTAGAGGCATCACGTGACCAATCGGGTTTTTCTTGATAGTCACTTGGACGTGTGAACAGGGGCACGCGCAGCTGCGCGGCTGCAGAACCCAGAACTCGCAGGGGTGGTACTTTGCCCAACCCGCTTTGATCAGAGCAGCTCCTTTCCCCATACGCCTGACTTGGGATGTTCCCCCTGAAACGGCAGTCCCTACTTGGACTAGGGTTTAGGGTTTAGGGTACTGTTAGTATAAGGGGGAACATCGACCATCATCCGGCTATGTCCTCTTCCAGGCCTCAGGCAGGTTGGTTCAAACGCAGAAGTTCTTCCGACTCCTCCACCTTCCCGCGCTCCTGAAGATGGGTTTGGGTTCGTTCGTCATTCACAGCTTCCCACGCAGACCTTCGAAACTGCCCAGGCGTCATGACTCAAGCAATTTGAAACATGCCG